GCGTAGTCAATGGTGATAGGAGCTGTTTTCCAACAACTGGAGGGCCACTGGTTCCCCAGTCCTGAACCCAGACACTTAATGTGTGTAACAAGCGGTGGCTTTGAATGGTGGCATATCTCTCCATGCATATCCAAAGATGCAAATCGTGAAACTGGGCTGGTGTAAAAAGTCTTGTTATGCCGCACTGGCAAGCAACGAAACTGCTGAAGCTGCGTGGCAAAGTATGGAATACTGGCTCAGTTGCCTGAGCAACAAGAATAAATTTCTTGCTCCAGCAGATCAGAGAAACAAGAATTGCAAATGGGCATGAAAAAGTGGTAGTCCCCTGCCTCTGGCATGAATGTTTTTTTGTGCCGCTTGAAATGGCAACCCTTACAGTGCAAACCAAATCTTGGGAGATGAAGAAAAAAGCATAGCAGTAGTAGTATTTGGCAAGTTCAGTGGGACCCTAATGAGCATACAGTAAGGCTGATGCGGGGCATGAATTCATTCTTAAGCACACCTGCACCATGCAGAGAAGTTTCTCCTTTGCTGAATGGGGATAAATAGCTTCATATGGTTCTTTAGTGTTGAGTATACCATGAAGCAAAACTAAGCACTCAATGAATTTTCTCTCTCTTGCTAGTGCTGTTGATCTCTGCAAATTTTGAGGAACTCTACTGATCAACTTAGGAAAGCTAAAATGTATTCTTTGAAGAGAGCTATTATGGTTAGGAGAAAATGACATCCTCTGAATGAAATAGCAACATTGAAAGTGGTCTGGGGCTTGGAAGAGCTGTCTGTGGACAAATGCCAGCTCCCTCGGCCTGAAAGTGGAGATGAGCACCACACCCCATAGTCGAATTCGACTGGACTTAATCGTCCAGGGGTCCTTTACCTTTTGCTGCATAAAGGCATTCATGGATGGGTGATGCAATCTTTGAACATGAAAGTTTCTGAAAGAAAAGTGGAGCTGCAGAGAAGTAGCCATGGAGGTCCAGGCTGTTGTTTTCTTGGAGAACACAAACCTGTGTCCAGGTTTCTTCAAAAGTGGAGTAGGATCACAGTGGTAGAAGGGTGAGGAAAGATCAGCCAAGATCACACTGCCCGTTTGCTTCAATGTTTGCTTCAAGAGCAAACTGCCTGTTTGTCAAAATGTGAATATCTGAGTGGAAGTGTGACAGTGTGCTCAGGGTGTAAAAAGCCTTGGCTTGGTCTTTTGTATTCTGGATGGGAAGAAAAACATAGGTCTGAACACTAGCTCTCTTGTGCATGCTGTCATTCATTTATGGCAAGTTTTCCTGGTTAATTAAGGTGCTGGCAGGATATACATCCAGGCTAGGCTCTGCTGCACACAGATGTACTTGGCACATGAAAGCATGGCCTTGTACTTTTGATTTGCTTGGCTTTGTCTGCTGCCTCCCCCCCCACTCCCCTCTGCTTGTCTACAAATTGCAGGAGTCTTCCTCGCACAATTGCACAGTTTCCTAAAGGCCATGGGAAGCCATATGAAGGCAATGCCACTTTTGAAGACTGATACCCTTCTCAGTAGCACGTGATAGCTGTAATCCTACGAGAACAGAATTCTAGCTATAATTGTCCCCAAGCTATTAGAAAGTGTGAAGTGGTTCTAACCTGGGACTTGCTAAGAAGAAACATGATGAACTCAAAAGATATGGAGTTTTAGGCACTAAAATATGTAGCCCCCCCCATGGCATAGTTTACAACTGTGGACTCGTAATCTGGTGCACTGGGTTCGATTCCCCGCTCCTCCACATGCAGCTGCTGGGTGACCTTGGGCTAGTCACACTTCTTTGAAGTCTCTCAGCCTCACTCACCTCACAGTGTTTGTTGTGGGGGAGGAAGGGAAAGGAAATTGTTAGCCGCTTTGAGACTCCTTAGGGTAGTGATAAAGCGGATATCAAAGCCAAACTCTTCTTCAACTGTGCTCTTGGAACTGTGTGGGCAGGTATGTTGTGCACATCTACACACATAGTCCTACTGCTACCTTTTGCATGGAATGGCATCATCTGAAGCACTTAAGTGGAAAACACCCAAGGAATCCTAGTACACACAGGCAATTTCAAAGGTTAGAGTGAAGAACTACCGTATTTTCCCCTCTATAACACACAGATTTTTTCTCCTAAAAAGGAAGGGGAAATGTCTGTGCGTGTTATAGAGCGAATGTGTGGTCCCTGGAGCCAAAAAATCAAGCAAAAGTCAAATCGCGAGTCACGGAGAAGGGAAACCTGAAAAGAGGAAGTGGCTGCTTTCCTGCATTCTGCCTCAGGGTCTTACTGCCCACCCGCCTCTGTTTCGTTGCTGTGATTGCTGAAACGGAACAAAGAGCAGGGAAAGCCCCTCCCCTCCAGGCAAGCAGAGTGTTGTTCTTTCTAATTCCTCTCTGTGCTCCGGTGCTGCTGGGGGAGAGGGAGAGAGAGTGGGGGAGGGAGAGGGAGGGGGGGAGGGAGGGAGTGAGAGGGGGGGGAGGGAGGGAGGGAGAGAGAGAGAGAGAGAGAGAGAGATGGCTGGCTTGGGGGGGGGAACTTTTGCCTTTCTTTCCTCCCACCCGTTAAATCCCTCTCCAGCATTCTTAGCCAGCTGCTTCTCTGCACACCCCTCTCATGTCCCTTCTTTGTTTTTCCTTCGCTCCCCACTTAAAATGTGGTTACAAAGCATAGATCAACATGGATCCTCAGGATCTTTGCATTGGGTCACCCCAAATTCACCATCAGATCACATAGCATGTCCATGGCTACAGCCTGCCCCCCAAAATCACGCACCCATTGTTGCCTGGGGCTGCAATGGTGCAAAAACGTGGTTACAAAGCATGGATCCACAGGAATTCTCAGGATTTTTGCATTGGGTCACCCCAAATTCACCATCAGATCACATGTCTGTGGCCACAGCATGAAGCACAAAAATGATACATCCACTGTTTCATTCAGAATGTTTTTTCCCTTGTTTTCCTCCTCTAAAAACGATGTGCGTGTTATGGTCAGGTGCGTGTTATAGAGCGAAAAATACGGTAAATTGGACATCTTCTGGCTCTCCAAAGGAGAAAAGGTAACTGCTACATTACAGTAAATGTCTTTTCCCCGTGATTAGTTTGCAGAAGCTTTTTAAAGTCCTGCATTTTAAGGTATGTTCAAATGCCATGTATTACTTAGGAAATACGCAGTCTGGTAGGTTCCCCAGAATTTTACTGAATGCACAGCAGCCTGCTACTACAGAGCAGCCATCCTTGCTATGGAGCATTTGGATGTATGCAAGGGAGATCCAAAACCTCCCCCCAAAATATTGAGAATTATGGAGAGGGAAACTGTTAAAAAGGAGGCGGAAATGAGATATTCCCCCCAAATATGAGTCAGCAAGCTAAGCTGGGAGCAGAATTACAATCAGACCTCAGTCTTAAGTTTGAAACCGCATATCCTTTTAGGAGATATGACCAGGCAATTTATGGGCAGGGTAGTGAATGCCAAAGAGTTCTTTTGAGGAGCTCCAAAATAAACATTGATTAAAAATTCCAAGCTATATTATGAAAAAGAAAATCTACTGCAAATGAAAAAGGAAAGTCTGATTCATGTGTGCAAGCTCCCTCGTAGGAGCCTGCTACCCGCCCTGCCAGAATAAAATTGATGATGCAGCCTTCTGGGAGTCCCTGCCCTATACTTCAGGCGCAAAGCTGATCACCTCAGTTAAGCAGGGAATTCTCCACTATTCTTCATGCCAGATTGCAGCTGCAATCTAAAACTACATTTACATGGAAGTAAACCCTGCTAGAAATAAGTGTGAACTAAAGAGGAGGGAAAGATGCATGTGTGAAAGGCTATGTATTTTTGGATGTAGTGTTGCTTGCAGCTGAAAAGGCTCTTCATTCCTGGACAAAACATCTTTCTTCTAATCCTGTTCAATATTCATACCTTCTTGAGAGGTTCTTTTTCTGATGGTGAGGTCTGCTTTTATTTCACAAGGAAACCCTTCCCTCTCAAATGAAGTAGGTTGTTTGTCTACCGAGTGCATACCACAATAAATTGTAATGTTTAAAAAGTTTCCCCAAGACCGTTTTTTTGCAACAACATGTTAAGATGACAACTGTTCCAGGAAGCTGCATGAGGTTTATATGATGCAATATGACAACAGCTTCCCAAGTGTGCATTTCAATCCACAGTAACGTGTGAAGAAACTGCTACCTGCAATGGCATAGACAGTGGGACGGAAACATAAATGTGCATGGGCACTGTGATGCCACATTGTCCGCAACTGTCATTCCCACAACACACAGGTGGAAGCTGCATGTCACAGTAAGCTATCAGCCATGGTTTATGGTGCAAAAGCAAATCGTGCCCACTTTGCTCCTCCCTGGTAGTGCATGGAAGAAACAAATGATGCTTGAGCTTAGCATTGCATCTGACTGAACCAGGGACCATAGTTTGCTTTTTGCTCAGACAAACCACAACAGGTAAGAACAAACGTTGGCTCATCATTGTGGTTTGCCTGGAGCAAAAGAAACCGCAATTCCTGGTTCTGACATAACCATACGTCAGGACTAATGGTTTGTTTTTTCCACATGCTAGCAGTTAGGAACAAAGCAGGCCTGCTTTGCTCATGTGGGGGTAAGCCATAGTTTACAACTTACTGTGATATTTGAACATGGCCCATGGGTTGGAATACATGGCAGAAAAAGATTTGAGAACCTGCCAGCAGTTCCACATCCTAAGCTTACAATGCCTACAACAGGTACAGAGAGACAAGGAAGCTAAAGGACGCTGGGCAATCTGATCTGCTGTTTCCACTTCCCCAAAGTGGCTGGGAAAACCCAGCCAGACGGGCGTGGCATAAATAATAAAATTATTATTATTACTAATACTTAGGCTTAGAAGCCATCCAAACAGTGTGTATGTCAATGTATGTGGGGAGCCCCTGTTCACAAAAGGGACTAACACAGGGTTTTCTTGGGGCACAGAAGACCGTGTCTATTATAAACCCCATCCACAGCAGGCAGAAAGAGGGAGAAGAAGTAAAATGTCCATCCTTATATTTTAATGGCAAAACCCAACAAAACATTTAAACTGTCAGAGAAAAGCCAACGGAAGCACACGCTTCCAATACAGTTACAAAAATAATAATAATACAGTCCATCAAAAGTGTCCTAATAGTCTGAATCTAGGAGACAGGAAGTAGGTATTGCACAGGGGAGGAAAAAAAGAAGATCCACCCTCAAACACATTCCTCCCCCTTGGAAGTAAAACAAGCCAAGATTTGAATTGCACAGCAACTCGGCTTAGGACACGCACGCGTGCACAAACACACATACAGAGGAAACGGGGGGAACAGTGTGCTTTGGAACTACCTGTACAAAGTTTAAGAATACATATAAAAGGAGAGAAGGAGATACGGCAGGCTTGTGGGATATGAATGCTTCCAGGGGGCTCTCCTGTACATCCAGCTATAGAAGAACACTTTTCACAATTTAAGACGACCAAAGCATGAACCCTGACGTAGCTCGAAGGGGGAGGGCCCTGTGTGACTTTCTGCGGTGTCAGACCCTTCTCTTCCACCTCACCTGCAACATCCATTACTGGCTCAGCCAAAAGACACGGCTGATCCAGGCAGGAAGCATGGCTGTGGAGAGGAAGGCAGGGAAATATAGTGTGTGCCACAGATATGAGAGTATCTGAATGGATGTCTGGTTTAGGCCAAGTCCACAGTTCACCTGGGGAACTGGGCCCAGAGTGCTGTGTTTGGGTGTGGCCACATCTAGGTGGGAAGAAGAACACCGCTAGATGGGAAGGTGGATTCAAACAAACACATGGGCATGTTCTGAAGTCTCAGGTGCTGTTGAGGATTGTCAATGCTTCTAATCATAGATAGGAGCATTAGGTACAGAAAGGAAAGTCAGTCTTGGAGGAGGATAGGTTTCCAGGCAGATGCAAGTTATTTCCTAACAGGATAGCTGGAGAGACGTAGCAAGCTCCTAATCTTCCTGAGTCTTCCGAAACGTAACAGGCCTTTGCAGTTCTTTCCCCCAAATTCAAACCCCTTGCATCTATAGTAAACAAAGATTAGGTTTGTGTGCAGACTTCCTTTACCCTCCAGCTTGTCCATGACTCTTATGCCGTCTAAGATGCACCAATGCAAAAAAGAGAAAGGGGGGAACACTGAGCAAATGCTTCTTTTGCAAACCCCTATTGCTCAGTGCTCTTCTGCCTTCCAATGTTGTCATTATCCCATAGAAAACCATTAGTCTTCTAAACTGTTTCAGAACACAACTTGCAGCCTCACTGAGGCTAAGTATTCTTGCTGCAAACTGGAGATTTAAACTTACATAAAACAAATTTCATCCACTGCCAGCCTGCTTTTCCTTAGACTAGGCAGAGCTCTCAGCTCTCTAAACTTCTGACAGGACTGCCTGTTTATAGGATTGCAAACTACCCTACTAAAAGTCAGCTGGGCGTCTCTGTTGTTCTTGCTCTCCGCTCCTGGCTACCTGCTCAATGTATTTCAAGGATGACAAATTAGCTTTATTGCAGCTAGAGACATGCAACTGGTTAAATGCAACTGATCCAGAAGACTCTGGAGAAACCACAGGGCTGGAAGCAAGACTCCCAGTATCCATTGCCAGAGCATGTTGAGGAATGAGTTCCTTCAACATTAGGTGACTGCCTTTTTGTGCATATAGATAAGATATGCTGGAGAGACCTGGATAAATAAATTGCTTGGCATAAAAAACCCCAGATCAGCTTGCAATAGTCCTGAAGATTCCTGAATATCATGAATACCAAATTACAATAATTCGGGGCAAGTCTTGGCAGTGGGACTGCAGGGGAAGTTGAAGGTGTGCATGTGCATGCCTAGGCTGGATCAAGGAATAAATTGTGAAGACTATTCTTGTTCAGAAAAGGAACTGGGGAGGGGGACAGTTCCATCCCTTGCCACTAGCGACTGGTCCCTCGACAAATGGATAGTGTGCTATAACCACTGGCTGATGCACTCGCTTTTCTATACTGCAATGTATGGTATAGTTACGGCTATCACCCTATACTGAAAAGGGAACCCTATAGCAAAAGCCCTTAGTTCCTACTGGTGATAAGAGCTGATGGCCTATTCAGGGTGGGCTTTTGAGAGCCCCTCTCAGCAAACCTTAACACGCTTCGCACACATTCACAACAAGTTGCTGTCTCCTCGATCACGGAGTGTGAAAGGGAGAGAGAAAGCAGCATGTAAGAATGGAGGCAAAAAAATCCCCCCAACCAAACAAAAAAGTAGGAAAGATTGGAAGGAGGCACTTTCTTTTTCTTCTTCTTCAAAATTTCTAGTGCAGCAGACTCAAAAGTCAGCTTGGAGCAGCTTGCTCTTACTTGCAGAGAGGGATGAATGCATGCGGTGTGGTCCTCCCTGGACATACCAGGCACTTTCATCCTGTTACATAGGCACCCCTTACAGGTGGGACATACAGTATGGGGCCAAAGGGCAAGGGGAGTGGGGAAAGGGCAGATGGGGAGGATATGTTGTGCTGAGGCTGCAAGACTGGCCCATGACTATTTTTGCGAATAGTCTGGCTGCTTGCCACTGTGGCTGCCACCAAAGGTTCACACCAGCAACGGATCCCAGTGATGTGTGGATGGCAGAGGCAGGGGAGCAACACACCGCCAGCATTTCCATCCCTACGTTCTGCCTCGTCTCAAGAACTGCGGCAGCAACTTTCCAGTAACAGGATATTATCACCAGGGCAATGGGCACAGCTCTTGGTCACACTACTGAGAAAGGCAGGACCTGTTGCTGGAGAAAGTGGGGGGACTCTAAAACAGCAGGGACTCTGCCCCTTGGAGACCTCGCAGGCCAGGTGGCAGGGGCTCCGACAGTGGTTGGAAGACACCAAGGTCTTCCTTCCCAGTGCTTCGAGGGAGCAGCAGGGCCCTCTGTAGGAGCTGGAGGCAGACAGGAAGGGAGCATTAGGCAGCAGAGCCCATCCATGGAATGTGGTGGTGGGGAACGTGGAGTCAGCACTGCTCAACACCCACTACACAAATAACAGTGCCATGGCCAAGCCCAAACAAAGCCCCCAATCCTCTCCATGCTGGATATTCAAGGAAAGGCTGGCCAAGCTCCTGTGCCACTCTACTCCTGTTCCCCAAGGCAGGGATAAGGCATGCTCTGAGCACTACACGGCTGTCTCCTGGTCCTCCCGCTGGATCATCTGGTAGTGCTGACGGTTTTCGAGGTAGGCAGCCAGGTCAGGGTCATTTGCCTTCTCAGCTCTGTGCTTGGGTGTGTCTCCCTGCAAGAGGGAAAACAAAAGGCAACAGCAAGTTATTTATTTTAATTTACTTATCTACTGCATTTGTGCCCCGCCTTTCCTCCAAGGGGCTCAAGTTGGCATCCTCCCTCCTCCCCACCCCTGATTCTATCCTCACAACTGCCCTGTGAAGGAGAAGCAGTGATTGGTCCAGGGACCTCCAGTGAGCTTCACAATGGAATGGAGTGGGGACCTGAAGTCTGACAACCCAAAATCCTAGTGGAACAATACACCACATGACCAGCGGGCCTTCATCTCCTCTTCAGAGTAACCTGTTCGGCAGCAAATCTGCTGTGAGCCATTATACTGAGTATTACCCAATCGCAAGATTTAGAGGCAAGCTTGAATTCCTGCCATTGTTTATATAGGTGTTTAGGAATTTGTTTATTTACCCCATGTGAGCAACTTGCACCATCAATGAAATATTAAACACTAAGATCAACCACAGAATTGCAGATTCAAACGAAAGAAAAATATTTAAGAGCTCTTACTTAAAAGTAAGGTATTTGCCTGGGGCCAAAATGGCCTCAAAGTGGGTGCCAGGCAAGCTTTCCTAGGGTGAGCATCTCTCAGCCAGGGCATCACCACCAAAAAGGTCCTCTCCTTAGAAACCACCCACAAACACTGCATTTGGGGAGACCCTGCTTTTACTTTTAGGCTTCATATCATCCCCATAGGCCCACATCTGGCTTTTGGGGGGTACTGCATGTGTGGGTCTTCATTCAGTCCCCCTCCCCTGCCATGAACACACTAGGAAAGACTAAGAGAAGTATCCAAGGACAGTGGAATGTGATATTCTGGGGTGGGGGAGGATGTGGAGAGAGAGAGAGAGAGAGAGAGAGAAGAAATCTCATCCTTTCTCCTCCTTTGAAGCCCCTTTTTACAATTTCTGCTGTCCTCAGAACAACACGGAAGGCAATCTTACTTGGCTACGAGCGATCGCCAAAGAAGAAGACTGCCAAAGACTGCTTTAAAATACATAGGTAATGATAAAGCTCAGAAAAGTTATATTCTACTGAGCTTTAAAACTACCCAAAGACGCCACACCAGATAGCCAAATTCTACTATAAACAACACAATCACGGCTGAGCAGCATTCGGCGACTGCTTAAAGCCCTGGCGACATTATGTGTAATTTTCTGCCCATGGGGTGGGGAAGGGAAGAGTCTGTAGGAAGGGACTTCCCACAAGCGAGGGCCTCTGGTATGGGCCTCTGGAGGGACATACGGCTTAGCCTGGAATATCTATGTGCAAATGCAAGCATGAGCAGAAAAAGACTCCGAGCCCTTAGCAAAATGTTTGTGGCTGAGATCTATTAAGTCGAGTGTTGCCTCAAGGAGGAGCAGGAGGAGGAGGGGCGAGACTGGAAACCAAAGGAGCATGTTGGGAAGGAATGCTTAGGGATCTCTGGGAGATTAACAGCTGACAGCTAGATAAGTCCTCAAGGACCTGTTCGCATGCTCCTGCCACCCCCCTTCCCCCAAACCCAGTTGCTGGGAAAATAAAATAAAGGCCTGCGTTTGAATATCCTCACTACCAATTGCATTGACAGGAAAAAAGGTGATTGCCTTGCACAGTTGTACAATGAAACCTTGCCATAGGCAGCTTATTTTCCTGGCCTGCAGAAGCCAGGATAATCCAAGCAAAAAGAGTGGGGGTGGGCTGGGGTGAGGTGTGTGCCTGGGGAGTGCCCTGAAATACCATCTCCTCCACCTCCCACCCCCACCAGCAGCCTTACTAGAGCTCCTGGTCCCTGCGGAGGCTCACATTTCACGAACTTATTGCAGCCATCTGGACTGCGTCCACTAATGAACTCCTACACTCCATAAAAAGCAAATCTGTTAACAGCTTTCAGCCATGTCTCCCCCTCCCTCCCCCCTCTCCCATTCCACAAGCCTCTGCCCCCCCTTCCCCTCATTAACTACCCCCACCCTCCACCAGCACGGAGCGAACTCTGCTGCTGAGAAAGACCAAGGAAACCTGGCTCTCTGCCGTCTCCATTGAAAGTGGGAGAGGACAGGCCTTCTACGCTGGGCCCTCGCATCCCAGTGGGGAGAAGGCAGGAAGGAAGGGACCCCGAGACAGTCGCCGGCTATATTTCACAGGGGTGCACAATGGTTTAGATACAGAGGCTCTCTCTCTCTCTCTCTCTCTCTCTCTCTCTCTCTCTCTCTCACACACACACACACACACACACAGTTGTAAATACAAGCACAAGCTCCACTAGCACCCCCCCCCAAAAAAAAAGGATGGAGAGACAAAGGCAGAGCAAAGGTCATGTACAAACCTTCCCCACAAAAAAGAGCCACAGGTTCACATGCAAGAAAAGGGAAGGCAGACATAGCTGTAGCACTGCGCAAGGTACCACTGCCAGCACCAAAGGTTTTGCTGAATGGGAGAGATGATTTTCTCTTGCAACAAGGAAAACAAGCAGAGAGCTTCTCTACTTGACCATGCAGCATTTAAGCTTGGAATCAGAACTTCAAAAGAGCCTCCCTTCCACTGCCCCTGCAGCCGCATAATTCTATGATGGGGGCAACGTGGACCAAGTCTCTGCTCATGACATGCTAGTACTATTGGTAAAGAATGAAGGCTCATAAATTCACACATTGCAGTTTCCTCTGTCTGCTTGAGAAGCAGCATGGGTTCCCAGCATATGCCATATGTGGTGTGTAGTGGTTAAGAGCGGTAGTCACGTAATCTGGGTAACCGGGTTCGCGTCTCCGCTCCTCCACATGCAGCTGCTGGGTGACCTTGGGCCAGTCACATTTCTTTGAAGTCTCTCAGCCCCACTCACCTCACAGAGTGTTTGTTGTGGGGGAGGAAGGGAAAGGAGATTGTTAGCCGCTTTGAGACTCCTGAAGGGGAGTGAAAGGCATTGAAACTTATGGCACGATGGGAGCCAGGCTGCGTTGTGCCCGTGGCAAATGCACAACCCAGACATGTGTTGTGTCTCAGAAATGCAAACCCTGCTGGCTGGAGGGCCAGAACCCATTTCTATGCACAGGGGAAAAGGGGCATTCTTACTTCACACAGTGAAAAAGCCCTACAAGCTTCAGTATGCTGGCCAGTCTCAAAATTTCATCTTCCTCTCTCACCTTGGTCCTCTTTTCCCCATTTCCATGGCTGCTCAAGTTCTGCTTCCAGCTAAAGTCACTTTTGCTTGGGTTGCATCCTGATTCCTGAGCCATTGGCGAAAGGTTAGGGGAGCAAGCGAGTTGCCAAGAATTGGCTATAAAACAACTTCACGCAGTTGGCAAAGGGTTTTTATTGCTTGTCTGAAACGCTCCAATGCTTTTATAGCTCCATTAGCATCGACTTCGGTCAGGTGAACTCACAAGCCCCAGGAGCTTTTGGCTTCATGGCATGAAGCATCCCCACTGGCTGGGCTTATTGTTCAGCTTCGGGTCACAATAACCGGCTGGCAGAAAGGCATCTCAACTGGCCAGAGAATACATGTTTGCTTCTAGTCTGCCGCTGGCCAGCCCCTGGGAGCACTGGGACCAAGGGACAGTCTCAATTCCTTCTCCATCAAGAAGGAATTCTGGCACAGAGACGAAAGTGCATCTTGTCCATTGTCCTCTAAGGTGCCCAGACTCTCTGACATCAAGCGATACTCCACTCGCATATGGGGGGCAGAAGTTTACCCTACTGCTGTGGAGCTGCTCATTTGTATGCCTTTCCTGCTATGGTATCCCTCCCATAGAGGAGCCTTAATAGTCTACAGCTGGGAGAGAGGGAGAAGTCTACAGTGAGACTGTCCTTGCACTGACCTCAGGGAGTAGAAAGAGGGGAAATGAGACATTCTGGCCCCTCATTTCGAGATAGAAAAAACAACACTGGCAGCAGAAGAGATAAATTTAACTCTTTACAAAGCTGCTGAGTTAAATGCTCCAGCCCAAGCCCAGATCTACCTTCCGATTCAAATACACATTATGTCTTTTCTTCCTTGGCTCAAAAGGAAAGCATCCTAGCTTTGTATTCTCCATTCTCTTCTCGGCCAGAACTGTCTCAGGGTCAGTTTACACGTTCGGCAGAATCTATTACTGAAGGTCCCCCCCACCCCACTGCTCTGCCCCAAAGTAAATCTACACTGCAGGACTTCACGTTGCAAATGACAGAAGTACTGTGTGCGTTTGCTTATTTACATTTCCCCCTCCGGAAAAGAATATCTCCCTATACATAGAAAACCAGCATATCAGGGAGTCAACCAACCTCTGCTATTTTCCTTGGGACGCTATTGCTCTGTGTCTAAGAAGTGTTTGCGTTGTTGTTGTTGCTGCTGCTGCTGCATATAATGGCCTGAAGCAACACATATCCATGGGAGACGTCACCTGCCAAGCACAGAGGCTGCTCCCTAAGGTTTTGCTCTAGCCATTCCCAGCAAGCTCCTAGCTCAAGCTCTTACCTGCAGATCAGTTTTCATCAGTGAAGCTCCAGCCTCCACAATGTAATGGCAGATGGTACGCTGGCGGAGGGCTGCAGCCTGGTGCAAAACGGTCTCACCACTGGAAGGAGAAGAAAATACAATGGGGGATCAGCATCAACAACAACCACACTTAACCTACCTGCTCCAAAGAGCAAAGGGATCCAGAAGAGGGCCTGGATGGAGCCAGTTCATTGCATTAATCTCTGCCAAGACCAAGAGGTGGGCAGAGTGCCATGCAAGGAGGTGGGGATGTTGGCTTCACCAGGCCCAGCCATTTTCTCCCAGAGGGCTGGGATGTCAGGGAGAGACATCCTGGCTACCCCTCAGCCCTTCGCCCATCTTGATGTGAGCAATCATTCAGCCCGGACACTGAGGTATATATCTGAGGGCCTTCTGGCGCCTCCCTCCGTGCGAGAAGTGAGGTTGCAGGGAACCAGGCAGAGGGCCTTCTCGGTAGTGGCCCACCAAATGTCAAGGAAATAAACAACTGTCTGACTTTTAGAAGACATTTGAAGGCAGCCCTGTTTAGGGAAGTTTTTAATGTTTGATATTTTATTGCTATGATAATGATGATGATGATGATGGGAGCTGCCCAGAGTGGCTGGGGGAACCCAGCCAGATGGGCGGGGTATGTATATACAAATAAATAAATAAATAAATAAATAAATAAATAAATAAATAAATAAACAAACAAACAAAGCCAACTTGGGAGTTGTGGCGAGGGAGATGGACCCTGGGCACCAGGGTTTTTTCCTTTACTCGGAGTCCCTCTGTTATTCCCTTCTCACAGGTATACAAGAACTAAGTGGTGAGCTGCAGGATGTCTACCTTACTTGTGAGTGTGAGAAACTGCTGGAAGGAAAAACAGGATACAGTGGTACCTCGGGTTAAGAACTTAATTCGTTCTGGAGGTCTGTTCTTAACCTGAAACTGTTCTTAACCTGAAGCACCTCTTTACCTAATGGGGCCTCCTGCTGCTGCCACACCACCGGAGCACGATTTCTGTTCTCATCCTGAAGCAAAGTTCTTAACCCGAGGTACTATTTCTGGGTTAGCGGAGTCTGTAACCTGAAGCATCTGTAACCTGAGGTAGCACTGTATTCACCTTTTCTGCTAAGCAGGTCTGTTTACGAGTGAGAGACCTCCTCTCTCCCCACCCCTTAGTGGAATAGTTGTTCCACCAAGATGGCTGCAGGGGGAGCAAGACTATGAAACGGGGTGGGTGGGTCAGAGAAAAAAGAAAAAAGAGCCGGCCTTGTGCCTCCTTCAGCAGCAGACACTTATTGCTAGTAACAGAACACTAAAAACCAAAACAGGGCTTACTTTTCTTCTTCTGCAACATCCAGGATCTCTGCAGGAGCTGGGGAGGAAGAGACAAAAGCAAAGCAATGAAGCCACCCTGCCTGACATGAGCCACACCACTCCTTATTCATTCCGCTGCAGATGGGAGAGCAGAGCAGACTCTCCCACTACGGCCTGGCAGAGCCCCTATGTAGGAGTTGGGGCTGCACATTTTTTTCATGGACATCAAAGGCCTTTGTGAAAATCAACCCCACAGCTGTTTTCCTATGTGAACAAACATTTTAATCTCCTTCAGCCATAAATTATATGGCACTCTGAATGAGCACTGTTTACAGAACTTTTTTGCATTCACTCCACCACAGCCCTTAAAAGATGCCATTATTTGCAGTCTAAATGTGAGAGAGGGCTTTCAAATCTTGATTTTGGAAAATTTGGGGGTAGGGGGAGAGGGAAGCCCGCAAGGTGACCTGGGGTAGGATCCCAGGCTACCTATGACATATGAGAGGGATTGCTGCTGGTGGTGGTGATGATAGCTAGAGTGAAAACCAGGCAGGTAAGCAGGCCAGATGTGAATCAGAGACATGCGTGTGTGTTGGTGTGTATGCAGATGCAGTATTTTTCATCCCAATGGAAGGACTCCTTCTTTTCTAATGAATGGCTACTGAGGTTCTTCTAAGTGCAAAGCCATTTTGGAAGAAAAACCTCCCTATTTTCAAAACCTCCCCCCCCCATTTTTGCACACAGCTACTCTCAATTCCTTGATGGGGTCAAAACTGTAGTACAACGTTCTTGGTGCAACCCAGTGTACCACTTACTATAGTGACAATTAAGGAGAGCATCATTGATCCCATTTTACAGATGGAAAGCTGAGGCTGAAGTAATAGTGACTTTGCTCAAGGTCATACAGTACACTCAGAGTTAAAGATGAGAACCTATGTGAAAATTCACAACCTTTACTTCCTGGACTGCACCGATATTTGATTCTAACCCTCACAGCCATCCTATGAAACTAACACGACAACAAAACAACCCAGCGCCTTTTCTGGTCTGGCTTACCATTTTCAATTATGTATTTGACAATCTCCTTGCTCCCTGATTTGACGGCATGATGTAGAACAGTTTGGCCTGTCTGATCGCGCATCATCAAATCCTTGCCAGCCTTGTGCAATTCTTTGAACTGCGGGAAGAAAGAACAACTTGAGATGAGATAGACTCTTGTGAGGAAGGTTTTAAATCGAGGTGACTTTCACAAAAGGTTAAAAACAACCCAGCAAAGATCAAGAGCAATTCATTTTTTTAAAAAAAAGGTTAACAGCTGAAGACCACTCAGAAAGGATGTTGTGTCAGGCAGAAGCATTAAAAAAAAAGGCTTTTCCAAACAGGTATGCGTTAATCCTTTTAAAAGGTAGTAGTAATGAGCATAACCAGAGCTACGATGGCCTACCCTTGTCACCAGTGTAAAACCTTCTCATACTATGGGCATATGGAGAAAGTTGGGATAGCTCAGTTGGTAGAACATGAGACTCTTAATCTCAGGGTCGAGAGTTCAAGTTCCACATTAGGTTACAGATTCCTGGCCTGCATTGCAGGGCGTCGGAGTAGATTACCCTTTTTGGTCCCTTCCAACTCTACAATTCTGTGATTTTATTAAAAGGATCTCCTTGTAAAACAAGGTAAACACAGACTCACATAGGTGCATAATTATGCACAGTAGTTAAGTTTAGAAGGAAGAGAATTTTTATTTTTAAAAAACCAGCACATGGTGAGAAATCACTCACTCTTCCTTGGTTACTTGCTCCTATAAAATGTACCTTATGGGGTTAAAGCAGCCACATCATCATCGAAAAGTCACTAATAAAGGAATCCCATGGTTGACTCTGTCTATTGCCAGAGTCACTTTCAAGGCCATTGAATTAAAAAATAATATACTTCTAAACTCTGAATCTGACATGAATGAAACAGAACATAGCAAGAGCCCTACTGGATGAAACCCAAAAGGCTGTCTAGCCTAGCACCCCGTTCCCATTGGCCAACCTGAAGCTTATATGCAGGACAGAAGTGCAATTGCCTTCTCCTGCTGTTCTTCCTCAGCAACCAGCACACTGCATCTGATTCTGGAGATAGTATGCAGCAGTCATGCTTAGTAGACACTGATGGCTTTATTCCCCATTAATTTGTCTAATTCACTTTCAGCCATCCATATTGGTGGTCATCACCACATCTTGTGGTAGTGAGAAGCACTGCAGAGCATCACACTTCAGGGTGAAATTTCTCTCTAAGCAAAACATTGTCCTGGTTTGCATATAATGCTAAACGGTGGTTTATTAGACCATGGCTTATCATTACATGTGAACCCATCCCACCAACTGTGGTTTGTTTGTTATGGTTAAAGGTCACTCATTAACCATGGTTTGTAGTTGGTTTTATAAATCTTTGTTAACATTAACTATAGCTTCATATTATTGTGAACCCGGACCTCCTCCTTCACTACAGTTGAGGAGCCATCATTGCGGCAAAGTTAGAGCCATGAGCGAAGAGCGGCAAAGAATTCAAGCAGCTCTCAAGGCTCCACTTCTCTTACTGCTGCTGTTAACTATTCTTTGATGAAATAAACCAAGGTTCAAGTGATAAGTCTGCCAGAAGCCCCAGCTGTAAGTATGGCTTCTTATTTATTAGATTTATTGCCCACTCCTCAACACGACGTCTCATAAAAGATTACAGCAAATACAAAATACAAATTGAAAACAGATTTTAAAAAAACAAGCAAACCATGGTTTAGTGTTATGTGCGAACCAGGCAATGGTGTTAAATAATCCAGAATTCTATCAGAATAGGTACCAGGAGCACAATTTGACATATGTTTCCTAGCAGGGGTCACTATGGGTATGTGTCTACGTTGTGGGACTGTCATGCTCCTGACTTCAAAAGGAGGAGCAAGTTGTCTCTACGCAGAAGTAACCCCATGTCAGTCTCACTCCTGACTGCAGTAGGGATGGGTGTGGGATGCAGTGAGGATCCTATAAGGAACATTCAAAATGGTACTGATCTTCATGCGCACACCATCTAGGCAGTCTGATCAGATAACTAAGCACCAGTGTTTTTAAGCCATCAAGGTGTGCTTGTGGTATCCTGGCAGCCATAGAAGGTTCCCTCAGTAGGATATTCACTGGGCACAGGACAAGAATCCTTAAAAGCAAGCCTTCATTGCCAGAAGTTATCCATTGGTGAAGGCTAACAAGCAGGTCACTATCAAAAAGCTAGATGGCGCTACTAGGAGGATGAAGTAGCAGCATCATCATTGTATCTGACCTTAGTCAGAGATAGGGAGATAATGCCATGGCAAAGGTTACCAGACCCTCCCTAGCTCTGCAGCTTAGTTTTTAGCACATGGTAGCTGTTACCTTGTGGAAATCGTTATTCTTGGCAGCATCTATCAAAGCATCATCTGCAAGAAGGAGACACAGGTTCAGGGTTACAAAACCAAGCAGGAGGGCAGGGAGAAGGTAGAGTGAGGGTCAGAGTGGGCAGACTGGCCAAAGAGAAGCACTCCCACCATGTGAGCTGGGGGCTAATGAAGAAAAGGCCATGCTCATTACCCAGGGACCTCAAGGGAGATTGCCTGTGACTTTATCTGCCCACTAAGATGTCTGGACAGTAAAAGGCAGTGGTGTACCGCTGCCAAACATCATCTACACCTCTAGACTTTTCTGACCCCCAGTTGGAGCTGTCTGGAGTCTGGGAGATGGAAGGACAAGAGTGGAACAGAGAGACCACAACCCAGAGTGGTGATACTTAGCATAAACACAGAACGATTTATGATAATTCAGCATTTGTTGAGTATGCATTATCTCATTTTGCTGTTTGGCTTTCCCCCTATTGCTGCTCCCCTCTTATTTACAAAGAGCGTTTGTGCTTGTGAATGCATGTGCACAAACACATGACAGTGTATTTGCATGTGAGAAGGAGACATGACATGTGCATGTCTTGTGGACCATCACTGAATTTGATCTGCCACAGAGTGCCATGAAGGTACTGAGCAACTGAGAGAATGAGAGGGATCTCGGGAGTTTGGAAGGCACCAAAAGTTGCCGTGAGGGCCCAGGCATGCATCAAGGAGGACTCACAGCTCCATAAAACCCACTGATGAATAGAAGGAACAAATAATGAAGGGAAGTCAGAGAGGTATTGGGGTGGGGTGGGGAGTGGGAGAGGCAAGACAACACAGTGATGTATGGAAGGAAAGAAACATTCCAGCAGAGGGGAGGACAATTTGTCAAAGATAACTTGAAACCCGCAGGCCAATGAACAGCGAGCACGAAGAGGTGAAGCAGAAAGGGTGAGTGGAGGAGGGGGAAAGCAGGTGTCCCCGAGGGGAAGGCGTTTGGGGATGCCTCTCCATCAGTGACTCACTCACACTTCCAGGAATTAAGCTCTATTCAAGCTCCAGGAAAACATTTTCCATTTGCTCAACCAAGAGAGGCACCTGAACTTTGCTCGCACATCCTGGAACCCTCACTGGTGCCTGGCAGAGACTAACCCTGCTCCCCAGCCATGAATCCCAAATCTCTACAGGTGGGAGATTAACTCTGCGCCACGATGTTATTTCCTGACAGATTTTACAAATGAGGTGAAGAAGGAAGGTGGCTTGTTAAGTCAACGGGTGTCAGGTCTCGCCCAGCTACTCATTCCTGCAGCTGCTCCCTGGAAGGAATTCCCTGGTCAGGGCCTCTCTGCAGCACTCAATCCACACAGCAGCAGGGATGAAGGTACTAAGGAACCAATTGAAGGCACTAAGGAACCAATCGCCCTGCACGCCACCACACACTGAAGCTCTCAGCCAAATCCGTCCCAAGCTGTACTGAAAAAATCTCTCGTTCCATCCTAACCTTTTGAGGACTCACCTTTCTGTGCAAGCACAATTGCGACACACACACACACACACACACACACACACACACCTTCCATCAATATGCATATTCAGATATGCACATTGAACTGATGCTTCCCAGGATTATGTCATCAAGTTCCAATGTCAACTCCTTCAATCACTGGGTAGTAGCCCCATATACCCTGGGCTGAAAAATGTGTATTTTGACTAGGAATGGCTACCAAAGCAGCTACCATGTTCCAAAAAAGCTCCTCTAACCATCAGAGCTCAAGTTGTCCTGGAGGACTGGCTCCCACCCTTTCCAATAGTAGGGAAGCCATGGCATGGCACAACATTGTGTGAACATTCTGGACTAATTTGGAGAACAGTCTGTGTGAGTAAAATCTAGAAGGGCATATTAAAATGCTACATGGAAAACCATCTGCAGCATTTCACTGAAAGTGCTACTGTGTTTTACAGAAGTTAAATGTAACGTTAGACCAGGGGGGGGTGGGGGGACTGGGAGGCATGAAAATGAAGCACACAAAGTTATAGGTTAGCATTCAATAATTGAGATAAGAAGGAGATATGCTCAAGGAGCACACTAAGAGTAAAACAGTCTCACCTTTGAGGGAATTGCAGCTCCCCATTTCTGAGCTGGGAAAAAAAAAAGAGAAAATCAAAGCTAAGAGACTAGCTCCTTCCTAAAGCAGCTCTCTCCATCTGCTCAGCTCACCAAAAACTCTCTACCTGTCTAATTTGAAAGGGCCAATAATAGAATTAGCTGTGCTATATCAGAGATTCAGAATTCTATTCTGCTTTGCTCCATATGATAGATCCAGATGAGGGAAGTGCAGAACTGAGGTATGTAGCAGGGAATTCGCATCCTAGCCATCTTAGTCCTGTTCCTCTTTTTGTACCAGCTTTGTTTACATCTGCCTCCCTTTCCAGTATCAGCATAGCAGTCACGCTGCAACCCTGGCTTCGTATGCCATAAGCTCTATCGGCCACATGATCCTGAGTCAACTTCCATCCTACGGAGGTTAAAACAGATGAACTAATCGACAGCTCATCCTGGCACATCAATGCCAACGGTGTAAGACTCCCTATGCCAAAGCATTCTCCCCACCCTCACATTGGAACAGAAAGCAAACAGAAGAGGAATAATGACTGCCTGAAGGTTGAACTCTCATCCTCCGACCTGCACCCATCCTTAAGCTATTCTTCCTTGGGCTCCTTCCCTCAACCTCGCCTGGTCTTTCTTACCTCCAGGCACTAAGCAGACAGCCTCACCTGGAGACTGGTGTGGATGTTGGTGAACCTGGGAGAGCAACGTTTTGCCTTATCGGTGTTGAGGGCACATCAACAAGGTCAGGCATGGCAGGAGATGTGCCCACTGTTTGGGTGCGCACCAGTTCTGGGTCCAACACAAAAAGCTCATCCTGAGAGATCTCCGTCACATAGTTGAGATGTTCCTGAGAAAGTACACGCCAATCATTTTATGGATGGGATTTTTCAGGGTAAACAGTTTTAATGAAGGGGTCTCTGTGTGTATTTTAAGATAATATGCAATGTGGATTTTCAAGATGGGAGTTCAGCGATTTGAACAAAATCCTGGGAAATTTGTTTTTTTCCTTAAAAGAAAGCAATTTTTCAATTTTGCTGGTCGTGGGAACAGGCCTGGTGATATAAGAAAATTTGCCTCCATCAATTTAGAAAAAACATAAGGATACAGGATCCAAAGTGGAATTTTGGCAATCTGTTTATACAATATATACTCTCTCCAACTCTGCTCTCTGCTTATCCAAGAGAGTCAGTTCTATTTTCCTAGTCCCCAGAAAAAAAGAGAGAATCCCACACACAGTGACAGTTACAAATTCTACAATGAAAATTATACTGAAAATTGGAAATTTGTGCACCAATTTATTTCTATTGAAGAATTTTAGCTCTTTTGTTTCAGAATTTTAAACATAACAAAGCTCCAGATCTCGTGGCCACAACTGTGAATCATGTATTATATGGTTTACAGATGTAATACACTAGCACTACAGGGAAACAATGTAATGTCACTGGGGACAAATAAATAATTACTTTTATTTCAGGTCTAATGTATTTACTAGCCTTTCCAAACCTCCCTAGTTTCCTGGGCATTATTCTCTAGTGACACACCACCCTAAATATTTATTTTTGGATGCACAGAAAATGAAAATATCTGACCTCAAGATTGAATCCCTTTATTAAATAAATATAATGGCAGGGGCCTGAGATATTCTGAAGGAAATGAAAACCAAGTTGCAAGCAGCAATGTATTCCATGGGCAGCAGGCAGGCAGGCAGTCTCAGATTCCACAGTCTCTTGAGAACAAACTGGAACTCACCTGGGCACGGTCTATTCTGTAAAACCGATCGGCTGTAGTTGCTGCAAGAGAGGAAGAGAAGGACACGGAGTGTTTAGCATCTATATATACCCCCAGTGTATTCAAAGAAATTCACGTAACATCTTAGCAACCCTTACAACAACTGTGTGATATAGATCCAATATTAGCTCTGCGCTTGGACTATGAGCGTGATAAAGCAGAGGATGGTTATAAATCAGAGATTAATAGCATGCTTAAGGACACCCAGTGAGTTCTCACCTGAGGGGAGATTTGAACCAGAGACACACCCTGATTTATAGCTCGGTCTCTTACATTACACTCCTATATATGTCTACTAAGAAGACAGTTTTAAAAGGGCTTACTACTGGGTAAGTTAGTATAGAACAGCAACCTTAGTCACTCTCAAATTTGGGTTAGTGGAAATAACGAGAGAACAGGAAAAGCAGAACTAGTTCATGAATTATACTTGATGCATATCAAGCATGTCAGCTGTAAAAGAGAGGTATATATGACACAACAGCAGAAGATTCCAAAGTGGCAGAGTGCTATTGTACTTTGTTCAGCTTGCCAGACAGTTGTCTCTCCCACCCCTTGTGGGCCAAGTGGGGGAGACAGGTGGGCATACCTATCAATCACCTGAGACCTTTTGTTTCTTCATGTGGGGGTCTTCAGTCCCCACCCCTCAAAGCACTATCTTGCCCAGAGCAATGCTTTACAATCCTTACTGTGGCTCCCTTTTGAGAAAACAATTCAGTCAATGCCCACTGCCCTTTTGGATGGCAGGTTTAGCAACATTCCAACTCAAAAATACCTAGTGGGAATGCAGGATTATTTTAATTTTTTGTTTCTTTTTGTATGACTGTTGTTTGATGAAATATACCCAAATGATTTGTGTCTCTTCAAGTATTTCTATATGTACTGAATTGTGGGGGGCAATGGCCTTGAGAAATAAATTGTTATCTTCCTCACAGCTTTGAAAGGGGTTTCTGAAGATCTGATAATCAGCTGATTGTCAGATCTTAAACAACAACAACAACACAAAACATTCCAAGTGCTATTTTGCTCAGTCCTTTGAAAGAAGCTTTGCAGTCGCAACCAATAAGTTGTTTAGGCACTGGGCTTGCAAGTTCCTCACCCCTGCTGTAAGCCCTCAGGATCTTATCAAGGAGGGCCATGAATGCTTGTTGTTACCAGGACCATTTGTGGTGACTATGCTGCAAGCTGGCAGGCAGCGATCCAAGAGACACTTGTAAGAATGAAACAGCTGCATTTCACATAGTACCGACAACAACACAAGACAACTTTCCAAAATGCAGCTGCTTAACCTTCACCACAGAAATACTACCTTGAGGGAACACGAGCAAATGAGCAACAACCTTGCATTTACTTTGCTATAATCTGATCGTTTGGCAAGGGCCTCCCATTTGAGCAGCAGTGGCCTTGAGCATCAAAGGACCAACTAAACCCCAACAAAATATGTGCAGGCAGGATGTTACCACGAGCAACAGATAGAAAGGCAATTAAAGGGGGTACCCTTTACCAGAAGTAAAGAGTACTTTTTTTGTATGCTGAGCAGCAGAGGGAAGCTTCCCAAATCTGCTTTGCAGCTGCTGTGGGACTTCCCTGTGCATTTGGATGATCTGCTTGCAGGTGTGGGAACTCTTGCCCTTCGCAACACAATGATCCACATTTAAGAAGTCGCCATGGGAGTTTGTGCATCTTCCATATTGTGAGGATACACAATACATTTATATAAATGGTACACACCAAGTCAACTGGGTAGCTTCTAAAGTTCTGAACTTGGTACTGGCAAAATTGATTTCCTAGTCAATATATCTCTGTTTGGGTAGCTTAACTACTTCTTTTCTCATGCACTCTGGTTGGATCAATAGACAGATGGAGCAAGTAGATAGGATTATCCTAACCACAGTATTGCCAATCCTTCTCGTCACAGAGCACCTGTCAGATGCTTTAAAAAAATCACACTGGCAGAGCAATCCAAGCTGTGGGTGGACAAAGAGCAGGGAGTGGCTGAATGTACAGCTCCATTGCTCCCAACAGACAGGCAGAAGGCAGGCAGGTGGAGAGGCAAAAGCTTGAGTTTACACTAGCCTAGTCCTGCTGTAATGATCAGGCCTAGATTGGGTGTGATGCCATCAAATGGTAGCAGTGGGGCTGGCCTAGGATTGAGGGCCAGCCCAGCTCCTCTCTGTCCCTGAAGTGACCATTTTGGAGCTGTGTGTGGGTTGCCACCAGCAAGAAACCACCAGTGGTCTTTCCAACCTCCCTCTCTTTCAGCAGGTGGAATGGGGGGCAGGCGCTGGCAGAGGCCAGAAGTTTTTCTGGGCTGGCACCTCTGCTCCACTCAACCCACTTTGCAGCAGATTGGGGTTTGGATTGCCCCCTAAGCACCTGCTGCTTTCTTTCTCCTTTTGCCAGTGGCGGATTAAATTCTCCTGCCTTTTCCTCACTGCAAGAAGTGAAGTTACAAGGAACCAGGCAGAGGGTCTTCTTGGTAGTTGCACCCGCCCTCTCATCAGATGTCAAGGAAATAAACATCTATCTGATTTTTAGAAGACATTTGAAGGCAGGGAGGTTTTTAAACGTTTGAGGTTTTAATATTTTGTTGGGGGCAACCCAGTCAGATGAGCAGCATATGAATAATTACTATTACACAAAAGGCATTGGTAAAATATGCAGAAGATTTTGAGGTACACAGCTGTATGATTATGGGAGCGGGGCCAAATAAAACAAATATACATCCATTGGAACAGGCCCCCAAATACTCTCATTTTGTTCACTGTATAACTATGATCTGAGGACTCCTGGGGGCTGTGATCCGAGGGTAAGCTGGGGTGGGGAGAGACAAAGGACTACAGCCCAGGTAAGTTGACCCTGTTGCATTATGGGAGCTCTCCATAAGGCTGAGGAGGTAAGTGATCAGACTGAGGTTGCTATGGCTGGGCCCTACAAAGACCGGGGAATTCTCCTTGGGAATAGAGCAGAAATAGTGAGGGGAGGGAGGGGTGTCCATGACACAAGCCAGAGCAGATTAGAGGAGTGAAAGAGCCTCGTTTATCCTGTCCTGGGGAGAGATTTACAGCCACAGAACTGTTGATGAAGGCCAGTAATTCAACCATTTTAATGAGCCTGCATTGCCCTTGAATGCCACTCCAACCTTTTTTCTTCCAACGCATTTTCCTCAGTTTGGAACATGCTGCTGGGAAACTGGCAGAAAAGAAGAAAATAATCTGCAGCAACCATATCTGAGAATGGGCTCTTGCTCGTGATATGTGGTGCACACAAGAGACTCCCCCCTCAGTGGGACCCCATAATCATACACACAACAGCGATGCTGGCAACCTTATCCCTTTCCCTCTGGATCAGAGGCTACGTAATGATGTGATTTGGAAGAGTGATTTCCTCTTATTCTGGAGAGAGCAAGGGGCTGGGACAGGGTGAGAGGCAAGCTAACAGTTTTGCAGCTGACTCGGATTCAAAGGTCAGCACCATACTATTCCTTGAGATCTGCGCTGGGGAGTGACTGGAAGGGATCTAAAAAATAAAAATAAATAACATCAGACAACTGGGAGGGGGAGACTGGGAAAAGGCAAAATGGGATGAGGAGGAAAGTAGTTTGAAGGGAGAGTTTGTCCTTCAAGCTACAAACTCAAAAGGCGCTTGAGGTCAAATCATTCACTACTACGTAAAGACGTAAGAATTTAAAAAGAGCCTCCCTGGATCAGGGAGCCATCTAGTTCTGCACCCTGTTTGTAGATTGGCCAACCAAATGCCTGGGCCCTCACCCCTACTTGTGATTTCCAGCAACAGGCATTCAGAGGCATATTGCCTCCGTCAATGGAGGCGGAGTCCAACCTTCATGGCTTGTAGCCATTCACAGCCCTCATCTCCCACGAATTTGCCTGATTCTCTTTTAAAGCCATCAAAGTTGGGGGCTGTCATTACTTCCTGTGGGGTGAGTTCCAGAGTTTAACTAAGCGCTACGTGATGGCTTGGCATCATTCCAAGCCACCCATGTTAGTCTCTTGCTCTCTCCAGGGATCTCTCTGGGTCAGTACCAAATCCCACTGAACCAGGTGCTTCCCCCATCCCTCTGGGCCCCCAGACACTTCTTGTTGCTGCCTGCTATAATCTTGGTGGAGGGAGGCCTCATGGCTTTGAGGTACAGGGCTGCAAAGAAGCTCAACGGGCCATGCAAGTTGCTCCCCGTGTCTTTGGGAACTCATTCCAACATTGCTTACAAGGGCACAAAAGCCGCTATTGTCCCAGCCTGTGGGAGAGTCTCACACTGTTGCTCAAACCAAATCTGAGAAACGGCAGAAATAAATAAAATGTGCTAGTTAAAAGTGAAATGTGGAGTCTGGAAGGCTATAGGAACACAGAATCAACCCTTCAGGTGGTGGTGGTGGGGAGGAGGAGGAGGAGAGAGAGTAGGGGCTGAGAGAGGAGCTGGAACAAAGCTGTGTTTGTAAACAAGACTCTGCTGCCCTGCAGAGCTCTTGGGGGTTCATGCAAAAACACAGCCGGTTGGGTCACAGGCCCAGCAAAGGAACAAAACAAAACAAAACCAGCCAGTCTTCCTTCTCTCCCTCTCATTACTCCCCCAATGCAAAAGCTGTAATTGAATTGGATGTACAAAAGGAAACTCTGAATGCAGCATATTCAATGGTCCCAAAAAACTACTGCTGAAGGCGGCTGGGCGAAACTGCCACGTCTCCCTCATGCCTTTTCCTACAGAGCCATCTGCTGGAGAAGAGCAAGACTAATGTAGCTGAGAGAAGACGGCCCAATGTGGGGAAAAAATGACAAGAGATGCAAACTTCACTCCCTGCTGATACAGTGCTCTGGTGGGAGCCAGCAGTACCTCCTGCCGAGGGAATACTCAGCACTCTCTCACTGAGGCCTTGATTCTGCTCTGCTGGACCACAGAAAACTGCCTTAGTTTAGCCGACTATTGTCTTCACCGGGGTTGATGAACTTCCTGTTTGTGCGCCAAATTAAAGTCTGCCAAATCACCCAATTTGGTGATTGTGGTGTGTGGCTGTTTTTACCAGCCATACCCAGCTGCAGCTCACCTGATGTCACTACGATGTCAGGTGTGAGATAGGAAAAGCCACAGCTGCCGAGGAACAACCAGGAACTGAAAAGCATGCTCTCAATGGCTTGTATTTGGATACATGGCTTGTATTTGGAGCTGTTTAAATAAAGCACTGAATGCAAGTTCCGCTGCTCTGCAGTGGGATTAGATCCACCTGATGTCATATGATGCCAGGTGACTGACAGGTATGCAGACTCAGCCACCTATCCAATATGGCCTGATGAGGGTTGGCTGGTCATTTTTTGATAAGGCCCACCAGGCAAAAGTGCTACCTGCAGATATCAGGGGTTGAATCTGGGTCCTTCTGCATGCAAAGCATGGGTTCGATCACTGAGCTATGGTATTTACCATATAAAAGACCATAGAAACAAATAAATAAGGACCTTTTAGGTGGATTTATTACAATCTAGCCCCTATAACAAGTCCTAAAGCAGCAAGCCCAGCAGGAATGGGAAACCCCGGGCCCGTGGTCAAGGGCCCTCTCAGGCCTCTCTATTTGGCCCCCAGGACTCCCCAGCCCACCCATTCTCCCAGCAGCAGAGGACATTTTAACACACAAAATGCTGCAAGTTCAATCCCTGACAACTCCAGGTAGTGTTCAGAAAGTCTCCTGGTCTGACCTTCTGTAGAGCCACAGCTGGTCTGTATAGATAAGAGAGAGCTAGATAGATCAATGGTCTGACTGAGGCAATGTCTTGTGCTCCTTTGTACTCAGGAGAAGCAAAGGAAATAATTCAAAAGGCAACATGGAACAAGTGAGGTTTCCAACGGTACTGACCAGCAGTATTTGAGCTCTACATAAAACAAAATTATAATTATAGAAATATATTCCATTACAGCATCCATGGCTCTGGCAACAAATTTCCGTAGCATTAGTCATGGAACCTTTGATGCACCGAGCCCCCACCTACTGACTACAGAGCTAGTATATATTTACATATCCGCTCCACACACACACATATACATATGTACTCACAGTCCAGGAAGCACCACTTGGGGGACAGTTTCTGGCATGACAATGTCTTTGGTTTGGCTCCGTCCCCTTCCTGCATCAAAGCAAGCAAAAAAGAATCAGGTCTCCTTTCCTACCCTCTTTTCAAAGCCTCTTCTGGCTTGCTCCAGCATAGATGCCTCAGGTGGACTCAAGACACATGCTTTGACACAAATCGGAAGGCACGGAGCACGGATGCAGCTCAAGACAGATGCACTGGACAGATACTGATGAAAGTCCATCATGCACAAAAAAGGCAGAAGGGGTGAGGGGAGGTGGAACAGAAAAGATACACACCTCTGGAAACAGGCTCTGAATAGCGGAAGGGCCTGAAGGAAAATCCTGTGGAAAGGGAAGGAGCTGGGTTACCGCTACCATTAGGATATGCTTGCATCCCCATAGCTGTAGGAACCTGCAAGGTGCTCCTCACACTTTCTGGGCAGCCAGCCTCCATATTGGCCAGTGTAATCCAAGAGCAAGATTGCACAATCACCAGCCAGGAAAATGGTTTCAAGTGTGGGAAAGAAATTTAGGAGGAGGACAAGGAGGAAAAGACAGCGAAGAAGCTATGTGCCATGGCAGTCCAAGTGCCCTAGTTTCACAATGAGCTCCAGGCTATGTTGGCCTTCCCAGCTGGACAATTTGATCACAGCTGCTTCTCATAATCCTTCTTATGACCAAAATCAAGCTTGAGAGGTTCCAGTTTCTTTTGCAGTGAACACTGTATCCACATCCGGTGCAGTGTGTTTTATTACCTGCCTGACACCTAAGGGCTGGACAAAGGGCAAATCCGTAAAGGCAGGTAAAGGGAGGGAAAGAGAGAAAGCAGTTTACGGAAGATTGCCCATCCATCTCATTTCCTTTGTAACCAAGCTCCAGGGAAGGGATTTCTCCACGCATTTATTGGCTTGAGCCAAAGCAGGAAGTCAACGACATTTCCCAGCTAAACAAAAATATTGGTGTGTCATTCACAAAAGCTGCCAGGTAAGGTGCAAGCTTCACTTAGAACTGGAGGCATCACAGTGATGCGGAACAAAATCCTTCTAACTAAAACTCTAGGCAAGGTAACTGAAATTCTATACAGGTTCGAGGCATGAAGAAGTTATTATGTTTGCAAAAGACTTGTTACAAATTAGAATGCATCCAATGTAAGTCACAGAGTAGACTCATTAAAATCAATGGACACAACTCATTTCATTTATTTCAGTGGGTCTATTCCGAGTATCAGTTAAGTTGGATACAACCCTGGAATATTTCCTCCGGCATATAAAGCAACGTGGAAATGAGCCAGCACTTACCCTGACCCCTGACCACCTCCCAACTAGGAGTTACCTCCTTGGGTTACATCAGAACCGAGGACTTTTTTATTTATTTATTGTAGGTATATTTACTTGCTTTCACTGACATTCCCAGGGCATCTTACACTGAATTCTTTCCTTTTACCCAAACTACACTGCATACAATGCCCAGCTTTGTTACTTCAGGTTTTGTTCATGTAGGTTAACAGCTTTCCCCCACATTTCTTTAATTGTATGGGGCAGGTGGCAGCGGGGACATTTAGGCTGACTCTGAAACTATGCAGAAGCATAACTAAACTACTCCCTGTTGCTCTGTATGTTATGAATCGTAAGCAGAGGCAACTCCTGCTGCTCAGTCAACTGTTAAATTTCATTTGAGGGGCAGTTAATTACAACTGGAGAAGCACAGATACTATGGCAGCAGGGATATCCAAGTGGTATGTCACTTGAACAGTAGTAGAATTATAGCAAGGTTGCACTCTCCCCTTCTCCAAGTGTTTTGCTTGCATCTCACCTCCTGAAGCCTCTCAATGTGGGTCCGGCATATCTCCAAGTCACTGTCTCCTGGCACAACGATAATTCCCAAGGGCACAGCTGGAAAGTAAGAATGTTATCAACAAATACCACTGAACCTGCTAAATACATTCCTGGTGTATCAGGTATTCACTGAGCAGAAGCTAGGGGACAATTCATAGATGCAACACCAAGGTTGCATGTTCGATCCCCTTATGGGACAGCTGCATATTCCTGCACTGCAGAGGGTTGGACTAGATGATCCTCAGGGTCCCTTCCATCTCAAGCATCATACCATCTCACAATGCACATGGGAAGTTACTTATCTGAAGGTATCTAATGGACAAAATCTTTGTGCATGTGGAATTTTAATATGTCAGGGAGAAATGCTAGGCTAGAAGCCTTCTCTCACAGATGTGTTAGCTTTGCACTTACAGGGAATTTTGATGTGAGGGCTCTTTAAAAAAAAAAAGACTAATTAAGATGCTGCCATGCTAGAGTAACATATTTGAATAGGCTGCCAGAAGGGCAGAAGGTGCCAGCTACCTGCCCACATGCTGTATTGTTATGGACAAAGGTGTGCAAGTATAAAATGGCTCCAGAAAGTTCCTGCAAGTTGTTCTAGGCACCCTTTAGCTAAAGAGGCTCCAGCAGCCTGGGCTGTGGAACCAGCTACTCACAGGCCTCCTTGAGCTTCTCCTTGTCGTAGTGAAGTGCTTCATAGTCGTGCATGCCAATTCGGCTTACGCGGATTCTTAGCCGTTCTGGAATGGGCTGCTGACTGTTTGCGCAGCAGGAAGGAAAAGTGCTGATTTAATTAAGGTGGGGCTGCTTAAGGAAAGGAAGACAGCATTGTTGTAGGAGGGAAGGGAGGGAAAGAGGGAGAGATATGGGGTGGGGAAAAAAATCCCAGAATGTGACACGAAATCCCCATGCACAACAACAACAACAACTATTAGAGTAGCATTGTAGCATTTAAAAACTTGTTATCTGACTAGTGGACAGGAACTCAAAACAACAGTTGCATTTGCAATCGGCTCTTCATTTAGTCCATTAAGGCTATCAATAGCTACTAGTCCTGATGGTTGTGTTCACTGTCATCAGATGTCAAGGAAATAAACTAACTACAGTATCTGACTTTTAGAAGCCACGTGAAGGCAGGCCTGTATTGGGAAATTTTTAATGTCTGATGTTTTACAATTTTAAAAAATATGTGCTGTAAGCCACCCAGAGTGGCTGAGGAAATCCAGCCAGATGGGCGGGGTATAAATAATAAAATTATTATTATTATTATTATTATTATTATTATTATTATTATTATTATTATTACTAAAATGGGCATCCAGTCTTTGAGAAATCAGAAGAAAAAACAAAGTGGCAGGCGGGACACCCCTGGGCCCCCGTTATGCCTCTAGCCACGCAGGTTGCTTCCATAACACTGGCCCCAATTGCCATCTCCCATGTACAAATGCAGGCAGGCCAGAAGGAAGGGAGGCACAATTCCTGGCTTCTTTGGGAATGTGCTTCTTTATGTAAGAATGATAGAAACTTGCAGCAAGGCCTCATGGGCAATGTAGAGAGGCAGGAGACCAGCACAGTCTCAGCACTGGGACAGAGCTGAAGACGGGGGTTAAATGTTGCTAGTTCAGCACTACAATGCCAAATGGAAGCGTAACAAGCAGCCATGTAGATGTACCTAGGACAGGAAAACAGGCTTGCCAAGAAGGGTATGAATGCCAGAAAAGACACAAAACCCACCTTTTATTATGCCTTGAATGGGATAAGCAGCATAATAAAAACCTTCCCCCCCCACAATCAGTACAATGTAGGAAGCTGTGCACCTAAGATCTTGTGCCACTCATTAGTGTCTAGGAGTCTGTGATACAACTCTCCACTCCCTTCCCCCAAAAGAAAATATAGCAGAGAAGGAACTTTGCTTCCACAGAGCCCTCTCTGTGGGCTCATATAACCCTGCTTCCTCCATTAATCATTCAGCTGCTTGCCTTTAGGACTAGGACAAGGCAGAGCCTTCCTGATAAAGCAGTTGAGAAAAGGCAGTTACGCTTTTATGGTGGGGGGGGAAGGGTGCTCAATATCAGTGTTTTTTGGACTTCAGAAGACTCAGTGCTGCATAGCTAGAAAACCCAATACATTTGTCTGTAGAGACTTTAATTCTGTTGGGTTTTATATATCTTACATTTCATAGTATTAGAACTTGCCTTTAGGATGGTTTCCAATGCATTTTAATCCAAACCTCTGGGATATAGTAGGATAGAAATCCCGCTCAACTCAGCAGTTAAGCTCACAGCAGGCAGTCCTGCTAAAGGATGAGGAAGCTCTAAGCCTCACCACCATGCAAAAAGGTTTATTACACTTTGAACAGGCAAAGCCACCTTCACTCCCTGCCCCAAAGCCTTGGGGGTGGTCCCTTTGTCAGGTAGAACGTACTCATTAAGCAGAGGCATGGAGTTGCGCCTCTTGGTCTTCTGCACCATGTTGGCCTGGTTGCGCAGGGATATGCGAATGCAGGAAGCCCCCAGCTTGCAGGGCTCTCCGTCCACTTGCATGGGGATGGCCTTGGATGTGGTCAACAGCACCTCCCGGCACTGGTGCAACCGCTCTCCGTGGCCGCCCACTTGCAGTGCTGCCTACAAAAGGAAGAAGAGTGTTGAACAGGAAGGGCCAACCAACGACCAACGTCAGTGGGAGACTGCACATGACCTGAACCTGGGAAAAGAAACATTTTCACATTTACCAGCAGCATCTGAGGCTGCTGTGCAGTGACTCAAATCAACAGCCTCTCCAGCCTAGTATTGCCAGCTCTGACTTGCAGTGGCTGCCCAGAGTTCTCAACAGGGGTGCTTCCCAGTTCCTGCTTCTTCTGAGGACTCTTTAATGTAGAGATGCTAGCAGATGAACATGGGAGCTGAGACGACATGCATGACGTATGTCTACCACTGAGCCAGGGGAGTGGGCTAGATGACTCTCGGGACCCCTTCCAACTCGACAGTTCTATGATTCTATCTAGTTTAATACTTGTGTCAGACAGCTCCTCCGGGCAAGCTAATAGTTAAACAACAGATCAAGAGGCTGGCACTGTCCTTGTCAGCTAGGCAGGCTTAGCGGTAGCTGAGTTGGTCTTGCTTACTTGTTCAGGTTGCACCAGTGTTAGTGTTATAGAGGCTAGAAGTTCCAGTCCCTCCCCCCAATTCCAGCTGCATCTGCTGTCCTTGATGACCCCAGAGATCAGCCATCAGGAGCTGCCCTGGCTTACCAGCGATGTCATGGTGAAGCCGATGACCTCAAGGCAGCCGTCATCATGGCGCTGGGGTTCAAAGTCATGGTGCTCTCCGGGGTTGCCCCAAGGCATGGTGCCTGCGCAGTACCTGCACGTAGACAGGAAGGAGGGGAAGTGTGTTGGGGGCAGAGGATAGCACACCTCTGACCCCTGAGCGTTGGGAGGGAGTCAAAGGAGGGGGAACGCTCCCCGACAGGGAGAGTTACCACTCACCTTGGAATGTTTAGGAAGACGAGGCATTGTGGCTTCAGATCTTGGATTTTGGGGGTCAGGTCTGTCCCATCACACTAAGGAAAGAGGAAAAGGCGACAGTCAGCTGTCAAGGCTGCCTGCAGCACAGAAGAACCCCAGGCGTTCTCTCTATCCCTTTCGTGAGGGAACAAAATTCTTAGCGCCTTGGTCTTTCCCAAAGATGCATTTGTCCTCTCGATGCCTTCCGCAGGGTTTATCTTTAACACGGCAGCAGAATGACCTTCTCAACCCAATCAATAACCAGTGCCCTCCAAGTGCCTGTTGGCCCCACAGCTGACTCACCACCACTTTGATGTGTTTCGCTAAGTCTCTGGAGCTCCCCATGAGGAAATCGGAAAATGCCGTCTGCCAGAAGAAGAGAAACCGAGTTAGTTCACAGAGGCTGACCAGGCACTGACTAATTTCAAACGGCGCTCTTTGATCCCCACTCATCATGTTGCCTTGGCTCCACTAACCTTTTACCTGCTGGAAACAAGGCATGCACCCCAGTCAGGATTAAATCCCATCTTCCCCCCCCATCAAATGATGTCACCAGTGATGTCATCTTATGGGTGGGTAGATTAGGAGAACTGACCCCCAAGATTGGCCCACAGGACAGAAGTTCCCCACCCCTGTTCTAAAGGCTTCCCTGGGAAGAAAAACATTACAGTATGGCCTGCCCTCCAGATGCTCCACATGTTACAGTAAAAAACTCTGGGGACACACTGAGACCAAGGGAACAATTCCTAACTGGGCTGTGAAAGGACATCCCAGTGAACTTACCCCAGCATAGAACATTTTATTCCGAAATCGGCTGTTAAATTTCTCTGGATTGGCCTCTGCAGAAAAAAAAAGGTTGCTATGGGTTACTTGTTGCCACATTTGTGACATTAAGTCACATTTCTGTCTCCATGACTGGTTAAATCACAGAAGCACCTTCTCTGCATGCGCATCTCCCCACATTAGAAAAAAGCAGCAGAAAGTCTCTAGTCCCCCACCCAATATCCGCTACCAAAGTTGACCATCTCTTGCCACAATGTGCTCACACAGCACTCTACTGTATGACAGGATTAGGGGATTATTATTTGTGCTAAACTAGCACTAATATGGACCTTTACCCCTCTTGTTGAAAGGAAAGGCATTTGTTGTACCTTGAAGCCAATTCCTTGTCACTTTCTTCTCCCTCCTGAGTAAGCCCTCTGCTTTCAGCTCATGACCTCCAAAATCATAGGTATGGTTTCCCCACAGGAGGCCATCCCTCCAAGCATGGTGCACTGAGAGCATTGGCTACATCCCACCTGTTGTTGCTATTTACCTCGGGACTCGTGGAATTCCAGTGTCACCCGGGCGTCAAAACCAAGGCTGAAATAATTGTTGAAGACATCAAGAGGGAGCTAAAATTGAGAGTGAGAGGAAACACCACTAAATCTGAGGCTCTGATGAAGGTGAAATGACTTTTCAGCTACTCTATAAATACCCATATGTGATTAAGCAAAGCAGAATTCAATGGAAAAATGCTCTCCTACCCATGAGGGGGATGGATGGGGTGAAACAGTAGTTAGGACAACAGTGTTTTGTCATAGAAGTGCCATGAACATCAAGAGACAAGGGATGAAAAGCCCTGGAGTGGGGAGCCTTAAAGAGTGCTTTAAGGTAAAAAGTAGAGACTGGAGATCCTTAGAAATATGCCACGGTGGGGTTTTGTTTTGTTTTAATTTTCATTTATAACAAAAAACAACCTTTCAATGATCATTCAACATTTTAACCTCGACTTTCCTCCTCCTCTTTCTTCGGTTCCTTAAAGTTCCCCCCCCCCTGCATATTCCAATTCTTTCAACTTATTCTTTTGATCATCTGTTATCATATATGTTTCAGAAACTGCAAGTTTTTACAGCAATCTTGCTAGTGTCTTAATCTGTTTGCAATTTGCTTGTAAATATTCAACAAAACATTTCCATTCCTTAATAAAAAGTTTGTTGTCTTGATTTCTTAATTCTTCCAGTTAAGTTTCACCATTTCTGCATATTCCCTTAATTTCTGTAAGCCATTCTTCTCTGGTCCGGACTTCTTCTTCTTTCCATATTTGGGCAAATATCATTCTAGCGGCTGCAGTTGCATACACAAATAAGTTTCTATATTGTTGGGGTAGCTCTGATCCCACAATCCCCAAAACAAGTATGCTGTGGTTAACCTTTTCACACTGGGCAAATTGGCTATCCTGCTCCTTTCCCCATCTTACTTTCTTCATAGCTATCCTACTTGCTTACTTTACATACATGGAAAAAGCCATTAGGTTAGCTGGAGCGCATTGCAGTTGCTATAACACACCTGACCCACCATGAAAGAAACCAGACAGAAGCATACCAGACAGAAGCATACTAAGGGCATGATGGTGTTGTGGGCCTCACCTTGTCTGCCGCCGTCTCGTCCTTCTCTTCAGCGTTTGCCTCAGGATTTGGCTCCACCTGCAGACTCCAGCGGTCCAGCTGCACAATCTCCCCCTCTTCTACGTGCGACAGGATCTTTGACAAGGGCTCATCCGTGTAACCCTGTGGGTCGAGATGTTCTCCGTGAAGGACTGACGCAAGATAGCGAGCATTAAGTGACCTCCTTTCGGGAAGGGCTGTGGCTGAGTATCAAAGGTCCAATCCCCAGCAAATTAAGCAGGGCTGGGATAGACTTATTCCTGGAAACCTGGAGTGCCACTGCCAGTCACTATAGATAATACTGACTTAAGAAGGACTGACTCAGCACATTCCATTTAATCTCACACCCCACTGCTGACCTGGAACACAGTAAAGTCTAGCATTGGTACCGAACTGGCAGTCTTACCCCACCCCAGTTCAACGTCCTTGCCAGGTCATTTCCAGTCCCCAGGGGAAGAATGGCCACAGGCGGTGGAGGGTTCAAGCGCAACTGGTCCAAGATGGAGAGGATCCACCCCACCTATTTAGCCAAGAAAGACAAAGGTTCAGACAGAAATTCGGCTGGGAGCTTCCCTTGCTTTTTTTTTTTTTTTTTTGGCACATGGCTGTTTTCTCAATATAGGCCAAACTCCAAAAAATGGCAAAAAGAGAGAAGCTGTTAGGAACTGGGGGAAGACCCCATGAGTGGCTCCTAGGCCATACATTGCCATTTAATCTGGTTTGGAACCGACTGGTCACAAGCAAAGCAAAAAAAGAATTATCTGTGAATACTAAAGAGTTATGCAAAAGCAGCTCATAGTTTAGATAGAAGTGGCATGTTGAATAAAGGTCAGCAGGGTAGCAGTACCTGAGCAGTCACTGCAGTGATTTATCCACCAGCCACGCTAATCACAAAACCACCAATGCAGGCCTTGCTCACAAAAACCACCGTCACTAGCATGCAATTCAGCTAGCATCTTGGTTGAAGAGGAAACACACTGCATCCTGGGCAATGTAGTCTTGAATAATGATGAGTGTGTTATAGAACTTGGTGGACCCATCCTTCTCATTTGATTTAGAGCCAATGAACTGTCTCTTAATTGGCTATCCATGACTGCTATCCATGGTGGTCGTGTTCTATCTGCACTGTTCAAGGTGATACACCTCCAAATGCCAGTTGTTGGGAATAAAATGTAGGGATAGTGCTGTTGCACTCGGGTCCTACTTGCAAGCTTCCCAGAGACGTCTGGTTGGCCACTGTATGAAGAGTCCTGGGCCAGATGGGTCTTTGGCCTGATCCTGGTCCTCTTGTGGCGTTATGACATAAACCCTGGCTTTCTTCATAACTCATCAAGTGATCAAGGGATCGCGGCCACTTACCGTACCATCTCCCCCACATGCCAGAATTCGTAGATTGTGCACTTTGCGATACATCTCCAACCTGCACAAAGCCCAGAAGAAGTGATAGTTAAGAGGACAAGAACAGAATGCGCAGCATTAACAGGAAGCAACCCCTCATTTTCATATAATCTTTCAGAAATGTAGAAGCCGAGTAAGAACCCATCAAGACACGTTTGTCTTTGGAACCAATCCTCAATCTGGCCCAATCTTCATGCTACCAGAAAGAGCTGTATGGCCAAAATCAGAGGTAGAGGGTACTGGGAAAGAAGGACTGTACTTTGGATGATGTAAATTAGACTAGGAATTCCCAACCCCACTTATTTGGGAGAAAGCTCCACTAAAATCAATAGGATTTACTTTTGAGTGGACATGGGTAGGACTGCACTATTAGATTCTCCTTCCTTCAGGAAGCAGAAGGTGTCCTGGTTAGAAGGTGTAAACAGTAGTTCTTTTTTCTGCTGCACTTGGGCCCTAACTGAAAAGAAGCATAGCTGCTAGGGACTTGTGATGAATTTGAGAAACGATGGTTCTGCCCTGAAGTCTGCTTCATTATCTGCGTGTGAAAAGTCTCTCTCTTAGCCCAGGTGGGGCTGATGGGAATTGCAGTTCAGCCAAAGATTCCCTAATTCACCTCACAGGGTTGTTCATTTTGTTCTATTCCACTCTCTCTTTAGACCATTATCAGCACTTTTCAATTGAAAGTACTTCACTGTATATCAAGCAGTACAAGTACCACCAGTTGAAAAGCCCTGCTTTACACAGTCAACAGTAGCTTAGATTGAATGGGTCATCCAGCTTGAAAAATGACAGAACATCAGGTGTTCCCACTCTTCTGATACTAAAGTGCCACTCTCTGCTCCTTGGAAGATATACAGGATGCAAATGTAAACACACACACACAAAAACCAGAATATGTGGAGATTTTCCGGGAATTTCAGTCCTGTGTCTTTTAGAAAAGGCCTCTCTACTGGGATGGGGCTAAGACTCATTCAGACAGATACTCACGCTTCTTTGGGGCCTCCCTGGCTGAGATCAAAAACTTGTCGAGGGTTGAGGTACCACATAAATGACTGGATTATTTTTGTTCCCTAAAAATTATGGAGAAAGAAGAGTCAGGAAATTCGGAAACAAACTGAAGAAGGACTAGGGCTAAAATACAGATGTGTCAGCATATGGTCTGCAACCAATGGAATAAAATGCTTGAAAAATACACTTACCTGATTCCCACCACTTTTGGGGTTCACAAACACAAGCAGCGGCTTCATGAGAGGTGCTGGGACAGGCTTGATGACGAAGGGTTTCCATCGCCCTTCCTGCAAAATAACATTAGTAATGATTAAGGATAATGACCCAGATTATGGTGAAATAAGATCTTATGCCCGGGAAGCTCAATTCGTTTGTTTTTGTAGGACCCCAGTTCTTATCACCATTAAAGTCTACATTACTCTGTTAGGTACAAGTTGCGTAAAACTGGACAAAGGTGCATGATCTGTTCTTCATGGGCAAATATAAGCAGGGATGTATTTTGGCTTTGGCAGAAGTAGGAGTTCAATGTTCATTTCTGGTCAAGGTCTCTGGAAACAGGCATAAATACAATGGAAGCTTCAACCATCGGTTGCCAGCCTTCTAGGTTTCATTACAAAAATACAAAGTTGTTTTCAGCCTCTTCTCCTTTTGGGCTTCAATCCCCACCATCCTGAGAAACAAGCTGTCTCCTTTTGGACTGCCACTAACGTTGCCTCAGGTAGGGAAGCAAAAGCTCCCCAAGCCTTTAATCCCATGTGATCAGTTAGCAATACAGTGGTGCCTCGCAAGACGAAATTAATTCGTTCTGCGAGTTTTTTCGTCTTGCGAATTTTTCGTCTTGCGAAGCACGGTTTCAAAAGAAGTTTTGGAAAAGCTTCAAAAATCACCAAAGTCTTCAAAAACCTCAAAAAAGGCTACCACACCGCGTGCAACTGCACCTCTTCAAGCAATGCACCCTGGGTATTTACGGTTTTAAGAAAAAGGAAACAAACTTGCAAGACGTTTCCGTCTTGCGAAGCAAGCCCATAGGGAAATTCGTCTTGCAAAGCAACTCAAAAAACCAAAAAGGATTTATTGGCAATGTGGTATCAAAGCAGCATTAACTAGGTTCTCCTCCATTCAAAAACAGTACTTAAATTCTGTGACTAAACCTTAATGATTTAAAATGTGGTCCTCCATTTGCTGCAGTGTCTCTCTGCTAACAAGTCAAGAGCCATCCTTAGCACACAGCATCCTTAGTAAACTGACAGCTGGTGACTATGCAACTAAACTGTACATTATTAGTGATCACCGGAGACTAGTAATTCTATGACAGAAATGGGGACTCTGTGGCCCTCCAGATGTTTCTGAACCACAACCCCTATCATCCCTGGCTAGGGTTGATCAGAGTTTAGGTCCAACTCTCATCAATCCCAGGGTTATATTATAAAGGAGCCAAGGGAGGGGGTGGAGGGAAGTCAGGGGATTCAAGTAATCCCATACTGTGGATTCAATATGGATCGTATATATAGTTGTTTTAAATGTTTTATTTTATGCCTTTTATTCTTCTTAAAGTAATGCTTTTGTTTTTGTGAAAATTAATAAAAATATTAAACAAAACAAAAATCCCAGGGTCCCTATCTTTGGACAAGTAACTGAATGTGTTACTGAACCATATTCCCAGCAGAAATAGACTAGAATTCTATGGCTGACCCCTCTCCTCCTCCCTTTGTAGAATAGCACAATGAAATGTTGAAGCATTCAGTCAACCAGAGTTTCCCAAGGTAGCAACCATGACTTCCCAGTTTGGACAAAATGGGAAATTCCGCTTAACTGGAAACTTCCTCATGTTGCTGAAGGGTGCAGCAAAGAGGATGCTTGAGCAATCAAAATGCTCATACATACGTTTGCTTATTAAGCCAAGATAAAATCATTCAAAGACAAACTATGTCTTCTAAAATTCATCACAGATTATATCAGAGAATTCATCGTAACTGTTTTTATCTTGCATGGTTGATCATCAGTGTAAGTTTCTCCATTTTTTGTGGTTATATACATTTGGCGCTGTGGGTAAAACCTCAGCGCCTAGGACTTGCCGATCGCATGGTCGGCGGTTCGAATCCCTGCGGCGGGGTTAGCTCCCGTCGTTCGGTCCCAGCTCCTGCCCACCTAGCAGTTCGAAAGCACCCCTAAGTGCAAGTAGATAAATAGGTACCGCTTTATAGCGGGAAGGTAAACAGCGTTTCCGTGTGCTGCTCTGGTGCCGTTCGCTCTGGCAGCTTCGTCACGCTGGCCACGTGACCCGGAAGTGTCTGCGGACAGCGCTGGCTCCCGGCCTCTAGAGTGAGATGGGCGCACAACCCTAGAGTCTGTCAAGACTGGCCCATACGGGCAGGGGTACCTTTACCTTTACCTTTACATTTAGTTACAGCATTTAATCCTTCTTATGTTTGTTATGTTTGTTATGCCAACTTTAAGATAAAAATGGATTTTCTATATACAATTATTGGTTTATAATGCAAGTATTTATATTATTACATTTTGTTCAGTTCTTCTTAATTTTTGAGCAGAGGATGCAGTTCTGCCCTTTCAGAGATTCCATTTGGGAGATTCCATGCAATTTCACTGTTTTTCTTGAAATTGAGGAAAATCAAAATACCTCCTCTATTTTGATATGTTAGTTAGAACGTTTGCTATTTGTAAATTAACCAAGCAATTGTTTATGAGAGCACAGATTCTTTTTTTAAAGTGTTCCACTTCCCCCAGCATGCTAAAAACATTTGTAAGTAAAACACTGGAGGAAAAACCCAGACACTAGTCTATTGCCTGGTATTTTTGCCACTGATCTCTCAGCACCACCACCTCTTCAGTTTGCATCTTAGTTCTCAGTCTTTCCCTATCTTAGTTCTGTTCTCTGACCTCAGGACCCTTCTTGCTGGATTTCCTCCTGAACGATGTCCTCTTTTTCTTCTTACTTGACTTTAGCGGGTTCTAGAGATGAGGGGAAAGAAGAAGCAATGTAAACGAGGAGCTGGTTTAAATAAGGCCCCTGTTATAAATGCAAAAGGAAACCCGAGGGGGCAACCTACTTGGGGATGCCGGACCCGTAGGATCCAAGTGGGGGGGATGACAACAGCGGCATGTGCCCCTAGTGAGCAGGGCTCCTCAATGTGCTGCAGCATGAAGCATGAAACTTTACTGTGATACTGAAAGGAAAAGGAGAGAGCCAGTTAGTGTCTACAGAACTGTCCAGGACAATCACAGCCTTCAGTGTGTCTGTTCCAAACACCGGCCACGTCTACCCACGCAGCAGAATGATGTAGCAATCAGGGGGTAAAGTGATAAGGAACGGGCTGTACCACTTCAGATTGCAGGGGGCAGGATCACCATTTTTAATGCTCCCCTTACTTAAAAACTAAACAAGACGACGACTAGTACTTCCAAACTCTACGGGGGGGGGGGGGCAAAGGAGGCAGAGGTGTTTGTGTTTAGAAAGGGAGGGCAATTTAGCAAACAGATACATGCTGCACTCACTGCTTGCTTACACCAGGAACAGCTGATGGCTACAATCTCCTTGCTGTGAAAGGCAAATTTTTGCTGGAAACCCTGCACAGGGAGACAGGAAAATAAGGAGAAAGTTGCACGTCATTTCAAGTTTCTTTTTATATCATAGCAATAAACCTGTGGTCCATGAATTTACAACAACAAAGAGTCCTGTAGCATCTTTGAAACAAATAAATGTAACGCGCCGAGAATATATTGTGGACATTGGAGAAGAAAGACTATTTAAGTATACGACCACGGCTGCGCAGATGTTATTGACTCAGAGATGGAAAGAAGATAAAGTCCCGACCAGAGAAGAACGGCAGATTAAGTTGATGCATTATGCCAAAATGGCAAAAATGACCAGAAGAATCAGAAATCAGGAAGACCAAAATTTTAATATAGGAATGGGGGAAATTTATAATTTATCTTAAAAACCATTGTAATCAGTTAAAATCATTAGTAGGATTGGAATAACACTCGTAGTTTAATTGTGAATTTTGGATATAATGGAGATGTAAAAGGTTTGGATTATTATAAAAGATGCAGGAGGAAATGACTAACAATAGGACCCATAAAGGTGAGGAGGGAAATCAAGGAGATTAGTTGGAATCTTGTTTTTATGTTGTATGCTGGATATGTGATTGTAAAACCTCAATTTGAAAAACCAAATAAATAAATTTATTTTTAAATAAATAAATTTATTTTTAAATAAATAAATTTATTTTTAAATAAACAAATAAATAAATAAATAATTTATATCCCACCCTCCCCAGCCAAAGCCGGGTTCAGAGTGGCTAACAGTAGTAAAAATAACACAGTTTACATAAAATCACAATCAATTAATTGAAATACATTCTAAAATCAATTCAAAATCAAATTAATGGCAACCTTTGGGCTGGAGTGCTATGAGGATTACAGAAGGAGAGGGTCAGACTGCGCCTTGGCCAAAGGCCTGGTGGAAGAGCTCTGTCTTGCAGGCCCTGCAGAAAGATGTCAAGTCCCGCAGGGCCCTAGTCTCTTGTGACAGAGCGTTCCACCAGATCGGAGCAACGGCCGAAAAAGCCCTGGCTCTAGTTGAGGCCAGCCTAACCACCCTGTGGTATCTCCAAGATGTTTTTATTTGAAGACTGTAAGGTCCTCCATGGGACGTACCAGGAGAGGCGGTCCCGTAGGTACGAGGGTCCTAGACCGTATAGGGCTTTAAAGAAAGAATATATTGTGGACAAATATCCTTCATCAGACACATAACTCTTGTCCCAATGTGCTAGTCTTTATAGGACCAAAAGGAAGTGTATTTCCCCTCCTACAGTCAGGGCTTTCCCACTGGTGAGTTCCGGCACCTCTGTAGCATGGCGCTTGGGACTGCACGACGGAGGCTGTGGGTGGAACAGTGATCGGTGGGGCGCAGAGAGGTGAGCTCAACAACTTTGGGTGGGTGTTACCCCTACGTTTCTGAAAATGGTCTGTGAGTGAGAAGCTTGCCATGAATCTCAGTTATGACACAGGGGTGGTTGTTGTTGTTGCTGTTGTTAATGTGATTATATAATTATGTAACAATTATAATATGTATGTTGCTGTTGTTTGGAGAAGGAAAACTCTGAGCCCTCAGCGCCTTGAGGAATATCTTTGGGAGAAGAAAAGGCTAGGGAGTAAACTCTACACAAATCCAGATTAGAGTCCCTAAGACTATTGAATGGCGCCTTGTATGCCTCCTTCCAGCAACTCCTGAAGCCAAGCTGGGGTCAAATACATTCGGTGCTCCTCATGCAGTGGTCTGACTTCACCCCGCGAGGCACATTCTATTGTCTCTCGAGACAAACAGATGCCAACAATGATAGTAATTTATTTCTAAACCACCCATCATTTGATAATCACAAGGCTGCATATGACAACAAAATTTAATTAATTAATTAATTATAATAACAATAATAATAATAACAACAATAATTTATTTATACCCCACCCATCTGGTTGGGTTTCCCCAGCCACTCTGGGCGGCTTCCAAAAAAACACTAAAATACAATAACCTATTAAACATTAAAAGCTTCCCATACAGGGCTGCCTTCAGATGTCTTCTAAAAGTTTGGTAGTTATTTTTCTCTTTGACATCTGGTGGGAGGGCGTTCCACAGGGCGGGTGCCACTACCGAGAAGGCCCTCTGCCTGGTTCCCTGTAACTTGGCTTCTCGTAGTGAGGGAGCCGCCAGAAGGCCCTTGATGCTGGACCTCAGTGTCCAGGCAGAATGATGGAAATGGAGGCGCTCCTTCAGGTATACTGGATAGAGGCCGTTTAGGGCTTTAAAAGCCAGCACCAACACTTTGAATTGTGCTCGGAAATGCACTGGGAGCTAATGTAGGTCTTTCAGGACTGGTGTTCTATGGTCTTGGTGGCCGCTCCAAGTCACCAGTCTAGCTGCCGTATTCTAGATTAGTTGTAGTTTCCTGGTCACCTTCAAAGGTAGCCCCACGTAGAGCGCATTGCAGTAGTCCAAGCGAAAGAGAGATATATTAAAGCCAGGCAATTCAAAACATATTGTGCAGAAGACTCAAGTTCTCTCAAAAGACTGAATAAACATGCCCTCAGATGGAAACAAAGAGGTGGTACTGAAGAGGCCTCAGAAAGATGCGTAGCAGTGTCAGAAAACAAAACTTCAGTATCGCTTCCCAGCAACTGAAGCGCTTGATATAAGCTCAAGTTGCGTAAGAATCTTGATCTGAAAAGTTTTTTTTTGCAGATCCCAATTCCAGCTTCATTGTACCCTTCAAGCTATATCCACACAGGTTTCCCCCTCACCTTTCCACACTGTCGACATTTCCCTTCCTGACGTCTCCGGTGTACCCAATGATGCCGCACGACTGTAGGCTGTGGAGAAACATGTGAACAGTTTAAAAGACGAGGAAATGGGAGAGACACATATACCGTCCCCTGAGCACACATCTAGGCTGGGAGGCTTAGAAGCCGAGGCCTCCAATGCTGCCTTGACAATCCAGAACAGAGTAAGCCACCTTCACCTTCCCCTGCTTCAGAACCCCCTCAAACTCAGAAAGTATGCCTCAGAGCCAAACAAGGACAAATGCAGAGCACTTCCAAAGGAAAGTATTCAGCGCCCATTACTGAAGATGAAACAAGTACTTTCTTTTTAAGATGCACCAAACCCAAACTATTCAAAACGATATTACATGGCATTGAATACAAGAATAGTCTGCCATCTACATATTTGCCACGAGTAATACCTCAAGGCTATGAGCAAGCAATCCATGTTGCAACACAGAGAGATTATGCTATATGTAGCTTTTCTTTCTGAAACGAGGTTAAATACACAGGAGTAACAGGCAAGGCTGTGCTTAGCGGCAAAAGGAACAAATTCCTGGTCCCATTTAACAACACGGATCCTCACGGCTTCAAATTTATTAAATTGTTAGAAGTCGAATGAGTATAGGCTGTTTAGTGAAATTACCTTAACTTAACCACAACATGAGATAGCTGCTCATTTCATGGTTATGTCGAAAATAAAGTTCTGTGGGATGCAATCTGTAGCTTTGAAGGTGGCTGACAGGATGATTTTCAGCAATCCTATGCACTAAGACTTCTCTCATTGACTGAAATCAATGGACAGGGGCAAAGAGCAGGGCTTTCTCTGCAATTAAGTGCCCTCTCCCTTATTGGGTTTCTCACTCTTCCCCACCACCCACCCCCCGTTGCAAAAAAGAAGAAAAAAAAGGCCTTACTGGCTATCTTTGTCTCTCAGAAATTAGCTAAAGGCATTTTAATTCAGCTGGTGTTCAGAGGCAGAAACAGATGCCAATTTTATGATAACTTGTTATTTTTTTATTCCCTGTAAATGTTTAATTGTTTATATATTTTTATGGTTGTTAATGTTTACTACTAACTATTGCTCTATTCTTAACTGCAAGCTGCCCCAAGAGCCATTTTATAAGGGCCATGTGGTAGGATATAAATGCAATACATACATAAATAAATTTGTGCAAGTATTCAGCAAAGACCATAATTTACTTTTTTTCCTAGTCTCTGTTGAAAGCGAATGCTGCAAGCACTGCAACTCAGGAAAATGTGACCAGGTATTTATTTTTACGTCTTTTCCTGTACAATCTTCTTAACATTTCTTGATTACTCAGATATTCACCAGATTCACTCCAATAATGATCCTATTAGGAGTCACAAAGGTGAGACTCAAAGACAGCCTGCACTTCTAATCCCACCAAGCCAAGAGAAAACACACCAAAAAACAAGTCAGGATAAAACCTAAGGGTTACCATAGTGACTTGGTTACTAAGAATGACAGTTACAGTGGTACCTCGGAAGTCGAACGGAATCCGTTCCGGAAGTCCATTCGAATTCCAAAACATTCGGAAACCAAAGCTCCTGCAGCCAATCAGAAGCTGCGGAAGCCGCATCAGATGTTTGGGTTCCAAAGAACATTTGCAAACCAGAACACTCACTTCCGGGTTTGCGACATTCGGGAGCCAAAACGTTCAACTCACAAGGCGTTCAGGGTCCAAGGTACGACTGTACACCTTCCTCCACTGGGAATGCTATGTCTGTATGTTAAAATTGCTTGGCTCTTTAAAAATATGTTCGAAGGAAGATTCCTTTAGGTCTACATCCAGTTTGAGAGCTGGTGCAAAGTCTGTTCAGGTGAAGCACAGGTTCAAGTTTTCTCTATGAAGCTGTAAGCATGTGGATGTGTTAAAATCTCACTTCAAGTATGGAGGCTGCCTGATGGTTTGCCAGTATGGATACTCATTGGCCCAGCCCTCTACCTTTCAGCACCATGGAGAGTTCTCTTCCTCTAGGGACTGAATTAAGTGGTGGAAGTATGCCGTGACTAGCCACGCACTCCCCAGCATGCACCAGTCCCTTCACAGGTTATTACTAGTAGCTCAAGAGTAGTCAATGATGTTTTTGGGCTACAACTCCCATTACCCCTGATCATTAGTCATACTGGTTGGTGCTGATGGGAGTTGTAGCTCAACAGCATCTGAATGGCATAACACTGGCTACCTCTGTACTAACTGGTAAATTAGTCCAAGCTTTCCTTAGATTAGAAAACTCCACTCATTACTATAATGTATCAATAACAGATAATGGGTGGCATCTCATTGTTGTACTTCGATGTGCAGATTTTCAAAAGAAATGCTCAGGAGGGATGGGCCATAGCGTGTCTTTTACTGCTCAGACACATGTTAGCACCTCAAGTTCAGGGGGGTATACAACTTTAAACCTGGCTATGGGCAGTTTGTCACCTCAGAACCGAATGAGGCCAAAGATTTCACAGCCACCTGCATCAAAGGGTGCATGCACACAATTTCCTTGTGCTACAGATCAATAAACAGTCCACAAAGCTCTTACCTCTCGGACATTTCTTGATCCAGATTCCCTGAAGGAAGGCTTGCATCGGAAATTTATCTGTGGATTTAACAGAAAGATGGGTGGAAAGCTTTTTTTTAAAAAAAAAACAAAACATAAAATGTGGAGCATTTCTGTCCTGTGAGGACTACATTATTTGCCACTGGCTCTTTCCTCCCACTCAGCCCTCTCAATGAATAATTGAGCATATGCACATATGAGATTACTTTATATTGAGTCAAACCATCAATTCATCTAGCTCAATACTATCTATTCTAACTGGCAGCAGCCCTGCAAGGCCTCTCACAGAGGCATTTCCCAGCCCTGCTGCTTGAAATCATTTAAGTGGAGATACCAGAGACTGAACCCAAGGCCAACTGGATGCAAAGCTATCGGCTTTGGCATCTCTAAATGCAAAAGTTATTTGCCTACAGAGTCAAGAAGGAACAAAATATGACAGAGAGAGTTTGGTTCTTAGGAATTTCTCCTAGCAGGCATATAAGCGTTCATGGAAATTGGATCCGGCAGGAACGTTCCTTTTTTTAAAAGGAGGCTGATATCCCATCTCTCCAAGCACAGCCCAAGAGCTTAACTAGATTTTACTCACTTTCTCTAGCTGTTCTATGCAGGGTGTGTGGACTACAATCTTGCAGGCAGCACACTTGCGCTTGGAGAGAGGTTTTTGCTGCAAGACAAGGAAGACAAGAAGTTTACATCATCTGCAAGTGACTGGCAAGCCTGCAACAAGCTCAACACTCAAATAACTGTTTGTGCAGAGAAGAAACCATATGGAACACACAAGTGTAGGGTAAGAATGCTGCAGGTAATGGCTTCCTCTTCGTTCTTCCATCCCAATATATGCACCAGGGCAGAGGATGGAGATGGAACGGATTGTGTATGGAGTGCATTACCCCCACTTTTGTTGCCCATAATGAAGCAAATGGAATCCAGGCACTGAAATATATTGACCGACTGATCACAGTCCCCTACCCACAAAGCAAAGGGTGCCATCAAAGGGATAGCTGGAAATATGTATTTATTTCTATCGTTCTGTATACTTGAGGTGGATTCTCATTTTTCCAAAAGCCTTATAAATTAAAAACATAAAAACACCATGCAATCAGGGGGAGAATTACAAGCTAATTTAGATGAATTTGCATCAAGGAAGTTTCTTCCAGCTCTACAAGATAAACATAAAGCTTGTGATTGCATTTCCGCCTGCTTTTCTTTATTTTTAAATCTTCCTGGAAAGCTTTTTCAGTGTGACTCACCCTTTTGAGGCAGCCAAAAAAGATACAGGCGCACAGTACAAAAGGGGGAGGAAAATCCTGAATTCTAATACTAGTAAGATACAGTGGCTAGAATGAATAAAACTCATTTAGGTAGTTTTAGGTAGTTTTTAAGTAGAATTTGCTACTTAAAAAAAAAAGTTGGGAGGGCAAGGAAGGTCACCAAATGCTGAACAAATAGTATGCAGAGATAAGGAGTGTGTGGACATTCGGCAGAATTACCAACTTATCACCACAGAAAAATAGAAGTGTAGAGTTGGGTCCCTAATAGTCCTCTCATCCAACCCCCTGCAGTGCAGGGATATCAACTAAAGCATCCATGACCTTTGCTTAAAGAAGGAGTGTCCACCACCTCTTGTGTGAGTCTTACTGCCAAATAGTTCTTCGTTATGTTTAGTTGGAATCTCCTTTCTTTTAACTCAAATCCACTAGTTTGGGTCCTACCCTCCAGATCAGGAGAATACAAGCTTGCTCCATCTTCCATGTGACAGCCCTTCAGATATTTGAAGATGGCTACCAAACCTCCTCTCCATCTCCTCTTTTTCAGGATAAACATACCCAACTCCCTCAACTGTTCATGACAAGGCTTGGTTTTCAGACCCTTGATCAACTTGGTCGCACTCCTGCCCATCTAGCCCACTATAAAGAGTGGCAATTCATTCAAGGCCCCAGGCAGTCTTTCCTAGTGAGTGATGCTGGGGGAAATGAGTCTGGGTCCTTATGAGCGGTATTCAACTAGGTTTTACCAGGAATCAACCCACTTATTCATATTCATGAATTTCAATGGATCTACTGCCAGTAAAACTTTAGTTGAATACCACCCAAAGCATGTACTCTGCCGCTGAACCATCATTCTCTATTACACATGAAGCTGCTTTGCACAGCATGACTAGTTTGCCCTTGCACTGCTTTCCCTCAAATTGTTAAAATAAGACATGGGCAGGGTGGGGGGAGGCGGGAGAAATAATTTTGATTGGGACCTTTCCATGAGCAAAGAGTTTAAGCCCTGCTTGGTGGTTCCAATCCAGTTCAGGCCCTCCATCTCTAGGTTTTTGGTTTTTTTAAGAGTTACAAAAGAACCTATGCAGCAAAGATCACATCTAGTTTGACCCAGAGGCTGTTGCCTGACTCCCAGCAGTTCTTTGAGACCCTTTTAAATGGAGCCGCCAAGGACCTTCTGCACAAAATGCTCATGCTCCACCACCAATACATTGCCCCACTTTTACTTAGACATCTTTGTAGAAATACGCTGTAAATGTGCAGGTTCTCTCTGTGCAGCTAATAACACTACACACACACACACACACACACTGCAATTCAAAACAATAAGCAGAAAGGTTTCTCATGTTCATACTTCCAGATTTTGTGCTAGACACCAAATCCCACAATGTATGCCAAGTATCCTTTTAAAATCACCAGGTGCCAATACCCACTGCACAAATAGAAGTGATGTGAAGGGCCACTCCCCCCCCCCCCGTACACCACCCTCATTTTCCCCAAAGAAAAATATTTGCTCACGTAATCTCTGCTTGATGGTATTCTGGGATGTGCAATTTAAGGCATTTTTTTGTTTCCTCCACTAGATGGTGGTGCAGACTCACACAAAAATCAAGTTGACCAGTTAGGGGCATCCTCTTGCCAAGACTTACCAGCATTTTTGCAACACAGTTTTGTTCCCCCACATAGCAGAAGTCCCCAGAGACATTGGTTTCAAACCAAATGTGCTCCCCGTAAACTGCAGCCTCCTAAAAGACAGAAGTAATGTTGTCATTCCACAGTACTGTTGCAGGGTCACACTCAGTTCAGAACCTAGCCACAATTCCATCCGGTCATTAGCTTCAGGGGAACTAACTTGACTCTCCACTTCAGCCCCACAGATGAACTGAGTCAAAACTACACATTGCTTTAACCAAGCTTCTTTTTGGCAAGACTCCGCCGCCACACACATGCCTCGGCATCATCCTGTTGCACATTCTGCTTTCCTGTGCCCACCAGTTATTTGCCATTGACCTGAAGCAGGCACAAGGAAAGGATTTGGTTCAGCCTACACGCACGACATGAGACACGGGTGGCGCCGTGGGTTAAACCACAGAGCCTAGGACTTGCCGATCAGAAGGTCGGTGGTTCGAATCCCTGCAACGGGGTGAGCTCCTGTTGCTCAGTCCCTGCTCCTGCCAACCTAGCAGTTCAAAAGCACGTCAAAGTGCAAGTAGATAAATAGGTACCGCTCCAGCGGGAAGGTAAACGGCGTTTCCGTGCGCTGCTCTGGTTCGCCAGAAGCAGACTAGTCATGCTGGCCACATGACCCGGAAGCTGTATGGCGGCTCCCTCGGCCAATAAAGCGAGATGAACGCCGCAACCCCAGAGTCGGTCACGACTGGACCTAATGGTCAGGGGTCCCTTTACCTTTACCTTACAAGCACGACATACCAATGGCTCTGATCAATGGGAAGCATAGAATGGCCAAATACTTTCAGGTATAGATATGGGGACAGGAGGGGACTTGCCAAGGTGGCAGGAAATAAACAGATTTCAACACATGGCTCCCATTTGACCTTCACAGGCTAGCTTTGAGTTCACCCACATGGCAGCTTCCCATGCTGCCTGTTGATTGCTGTAATGCAGAGCACAACCAGAGCTACAGGAACCATCCTGTGGAAACTCAGGTACCATCACTCCAGAGAAATGCACTACTTGTTTCCTGACCAGACCTGCTTGGCTTCAGCAAGGCTGATGCATCAAGTGACTTGACTTCAGACTACACCCTGGCCAATGATACCCTTGCTCCAGAAAGCCACCTACGTGTGGATTTGTACTGGGCAAAACTTATGCAGCCAAGCCAATGGGAAAGAACCCATTCATTATCTTTCCCTGCTCACCTCCCCCCAAGGGGAGAAGGTAGAACTTACGCTCCAGTCGACAGTACTGCGGATCTCCCTGTCTGAATCGCTTCTCAGGGCTAGTGGGGGGGTTGGCTGGGCAACCAGGTGCTGGAGACCAGACTTGGCAATAGCTTTTCTGAAAGACAGGAAGATTATCCATAAAAAAACCTGGAATCATATTAATCATTATTATTCCTAAATGCAGAATTTGCAAGCCTTCTGGGGGGAAAGGATGCTAAAAAGAAAGGCATTCCATGTGTTAATATCAATTCAAAAAAGCTGCCTAAAATGAGGCAGAAATTATCGGAAATCACAGAGCAGGTAATACTTACCCAACTCAGCGGTAGGCAGTTTTATTTTCTACCTTGTGGCAGTGAAAAACAGACTATTCTTCACAACTGCTTTAAGTCATGCCACACAACAACTACTAATAAATTCCAAGTTACTGGCATGCTGAAATTTACCATGTGGATTTTGTACCATGCCACTGCAAACACCAGCCATGAAGAAAGGCACGCGGTGGTTTAGTTTAAAAAATCCAAGTGGCAGTTGAATGTATACTATTTCCATGAATCCTTCCTCCCAAAGGTGTGTGTGTGTGTTCCATGAACAGATCACTATTCTCTCAAGTGGATGAAGGCTAATAACACAATAACACAGGCTTGTGAGACTCCTGGGAAGATGAAACAGAGCCCAGGTTTCCTGCTGCTTCCGAAGCAAAACATTCCAAGGCTAATTGGGGTGAGAGTGGGAGAAGCAGCTGGGTATTTTAGAGCGCATATTTAAGATCACACATGGGTTTTACTCTAGATCAATTCATCAAGGACAAATCATATTTGTGTTTTTTGTCCTCCTCACAATGTACGTGTGTGTGTACACACACGCGTGTGTGCACACACACACATTTTTATCCCATCCTTCTTCCAAGTAACTCAAAGGCTTTTACCCTCAAAAACTCTCGGATACAGGTGAGGCTGAGAACACACAAATGGCCTGAGTTACCCCAGTCAACTTTGTAGCTAAGCAGGGATGTGAATCTACCCAAGTCAAACATGGTAGAACTACACCACACACAATGTTACAGTCATAAAGGTCCTTTAAAACTATTACTATTATTATTAATAATAATATTTGCCACTTCTGAATGCTTTTCCTATTCTCTCTCTCCCTCTCTCTGTTTTTGTGTGTGTGTTGTGAAATTGTGTAAAGGGACATTAAAGCCATACATGTAATCTTTTGTATGCATCTTAATACATTAATTGGTCAGAGCTGCTGCTCGTTTCACACAAAGTCCTTTTACAGGACTCTGGCTCCTCCATCATTCAAACACCATATCCAACTGGCAATTCTTAGCCAAGGTAAAAGGCAACCTGCAATACCAAACAGACTTTGTGGGAAGATGCAGGAAAACAGCCAGCTCTTTGATGGAAGAGCACCCTCAAGGACCACATGAAGGATCCCTTTTTCATGACAGATCCCTTATTCAACCACATTACGCCACTATCCGGGGTGGGGGAACAGGAAGCAGGGAGGGAAGGGTCACGGCAGCCAGGAGACCAATGCAGTGCAGAGGTGTAAAATGTCACAGTTGGAAACTCCCATGTTCAAATCCCTGCTTGGCTATGATGCTTAAGGGTGTCCTTGGGTGACTCACTTTCTCTCAGCCGAATGAACTCAGAATTTCTTGGAGGAAGAGCCAGACAGAAGTGCAACTGGCGGAAATGGGGGGGGGGGGGAGAGACCCACTGCACCTGTCCTGTTCTCAGAAAGACACAGCTCAAGCGTGCTTCTTTCATAACTGATCAACCTGCAAGGAAGCACTGTGGTTGTGAGTCAGGGCTGTGCTGGTCCTCTCCCCTCCACCTCTACCCCAAAGAGCTTAGTACCCCTGAAAAAGCCATACATACGGCAGTAGGGCTCTGCAACCTTCAGGGGAGTCGCTGCCGCAGCCATTGTGGGCAAGATCCATTCCCAGGCATTTATGGGTAGTCAACGCCAGCCAACTGGTCCCAAGAGGGACCTTCCACCTCCGGGCAGCCCTCCGCGTCCTGCATGACTGGAGCAAAGCACCCGGCTTGGGGGTTTCACTTGAGCGCCGCCTCTGGCTCAAGCATCTGTAGCGGCCTTGAAGCCCGTAGGCTGCTCTGCTGTGCACAAACTCTGCTGGGAGGAGGTGGGAGGACCTGCGGCGCAGGTAATGAGGGTCTCGCAGGAGAAGCCTCAGGTCGGCAGGGTGCTGCGTGGCAGGACCGGGACACCGTGAAAACTCGGCTTGCAGCTCCTTCCTCTCCTGCTCTGCTCTCAGGCCAGATCCTTCAGAGCCTGAAGAGGCAGCTTCCTCACTCCAGTCACTCTCCTCAAGCCCCTCCTTGGGGGACTCTGAGCTGGAGCTCTCAGTGCAAGGCGACTGCCTCTTTCCTTCCGCCTCATACACCTGGATGAGGCTGGCCAGCAGCAAGGAGGGCCCTATGAGATGAGTATCTATGGTGCGTACTCGCCCCCCGCGCTTCTTCTGGACAGAAAACCGAGGACTCAGGCGAGGGGTCGTGGTGCTGGATCGCCTCCTGCTGGAACTCGCCCTGCGTTTGTGCCGGGAGCCCAAGCAAGACAGCCCTTGCAGGTGAGCGCAGGATTTGCGGCGGTGTTGCGTTAGGGTGGCAGAGGGCTGGCCCACCACAGAGCGCCGCCTTGCTTTGCTGGCCGGCAGGGCCACCACACTGGTGCGCCGGGGCCCTAGCGGCGCAGTCTTCTTCCTGAAGTGCCTTTTGAAAAAGGATTCCATAGCAAATGGGGGCTGTTGACAAAGAAACCAGGCGTTTTAAATGAGGACTCACCCTCCCACCTACCTAACCTGGCCTTCAAGATCTAAATGAAGAAATCCTGGGGCACCCCAGACCCCAAGCCCTCCCCAACCCTCAAAGCTCCAGCCAATTCTTTTTGGCAATAACCAGTCCTGTGTCAGCTTCTGATGCCCAAACAACAAGCCATCTAGGACCCTCTCACTCAGTGGAGCCAAGTCACCCAAAATATCCAATTCGCCACACAGCACTAGGGGAAGTTGAAGGGAGAGAAAGAGAAAGAGAAAGAGAAAGAGAAAGAGAAAGAGGGCAGGCTTTAAGTTAAATAAGTTAAAAACTAAAGTTCTGGAGAAAAATTTGACGCCGATCGAGAGAGAGAGAGGTTTCAGAAAGAGACAGATTTAACATTAGTAAAGAAGGTTAAATACCTGGGGGGTGAATATGACTGCTAAGAATGCAAATTTATTTAAAGATAACTATGAGAAATGTTGGTCAGAAGTCAAGAAAGACTTAGAAATTTGGTCGAATCTGAAGCTTTCCTTGCTTGGTCGAATTGCTGTTATTAAGATGAATGTATTGCCGAGAATGCTGTTTTTGTTTCAATCACTGCAAATTATTGACAAGACGGTTTCAAGAGGTGGCAAAGAGACATTTCTAGATTTGTCTGGCAGGGCAAAAAGCCCAGAATAAAATTTAAGATACTTACTGATGCCAAAGATAGAGGGGGGTTTGCCCTGCCGGACCTTAAACTTTATTATGGATCAGCAGCTTTTTGCTGGTTGAAGGAATGGCTGCTTCTTGAGAACACTGACATCTTAGATCTTGAAGGTTATGATAATGTATTCGGGTGGCATGCATATCTGTGGTATGGTAAGGTTAAAGCTCATAAGGCATTTAAAAACCATATTGTCAGGAAATCACTTTTTAATGTTTGGATAAGATATAAAGATTTTCTGGAGAATAAAACCCCAAGGTGGTTATCATCTATGGAAGTGAAAGCTATGAAAAAACTTAATATGGAGGCCAAATGGCCAAGGTATTCTGAAATTTTGGAACAGGAAGGTGACAAGCTGAAATTGCAGAGTTATGAGAAGCTCAAAGGGAAGGTGCGAGACTGGTTACATTATTTTCAAATAACAGAGGTTTATAATCAAGATAATAAAATTGCTTTCCAGGTGGAAAAATCAAAATTGGAAACAGAATTGTTAGAACCCAATGCTAAGATACTATCAAGAATGTACAATCTGCTGCTGAAATGGAGTACTGAGGAAGAAACGGTAAAATCTGTTATGATTAAATGGGCACAAGATATAGGACATAATATTTTGTTTGCTGACTGGGAGCAGTTGTGGACCACTGGGATTAAATTTACGGCATGTAATGCCATAAGAGAGAATATTATGAAAATGATGTACAGGTGGTACATGACCCCAGTCAAGCTTGCAAAAATTTACCATTTGCCTGATAACAAATGTTGGAAATGTAAAGAAACTGAAGGTACATTCTTTCATCTTTAGTGGACGTGCCCGAGGATTAAGGCTTTCTGGGAGATGATTTATAATGAGTTGAAAAAGGTATTTAAATATACTTTCGTGAAGAAACCAGAGGCCTTTCTCCTGGGCATAGTTGGCCAATTGGTGTCAAAGAAGGATAGAACCTTCTTTTTGTATGCTACAGCAGCAGCAAGAATACTCATCGCAAAGCATTGGAAGACACAAGATTTACCCACTCTGGAAGAATGGAAGGTGCAAGTAATCGACTATATGGAAATGGCGGAGATGACTGGCAGAATCCGAGACCAGGGAAAAGAGTCGATGGAAGAAGATTGGAGGAAATTTAAAATCTATTTACAGAAGTATTGTAAAATGTATGAATGCTGATGACATTGAAATGAAATGAAGGGGTTCTAGCAACAAGATAGATAAAAATTTGAAATTATGAATTTGGAAGGTAAAATAAGTAAGGAAAAAGTACTAGGACATGAATTTGCTGAATTAAATGTTAAAAAGGGATACAAAAAAGGGAGGCGTGAGGAAGTCAGGAAAATAAGTTAATCAAAGATAAAAAACTAGAAAAGAGTGATTTGTGTTTTACCTTTTTGTGTGTGTATTGACTCCCCCCCCCTTGTTAGGTTAAATGTTTGTATTATTATGTTTTATATTTCCCCTGTGTTTTTATTGTTTTTTGTGGCTGTGTTTTCTTTTTTATTGTTAAACTTAATAAAATATCATTATAAAAAAAAAGAGAAAGAGAAAGAGATTCACTTATGAGGAGATTACTGAGCCAGAAAACTAGTACTGGTGTTATTGTTATTTGTGGCCAATCTGAATGTGGAAAAATGCAAGAACTGAAAACGGTGCTGAAATGGCTACCATGTGACAATTGGTGGTTCCCAACGCAAACTCTGAGGCACATGGGTGAAATCTAAGTGTCAGCGAGTCCATAGGCGCCGACTCCATGGGGCTTGAGGGGGCCCGAGCCCCCTCAAAAATTCGTTTGGGGGGGCTCAGCCCCCCCAATAATCTCGGGCGGCGGTGGGCGCGTCCGCGGCTTTTATAGGGCGCCCGGCGCGCACCAGCTCGATAACGGGCACCGGCGCGGCGGGGGGCGCCGGGCCGGGGGAGGGGGGCGGCCGGCCTGTCTCCTTGGCAACCCCATTGAGCAGCGCCGGCTCCCCCCGGGAGGGCCATCCCCCCGCGCCGCCGATCGCCAACACCGCCGACGCTGTGGCTGCCCGAGCCCGAGCCCGAGCCGGAGCCCGACCCGAGCCCGAGCCTGAGCCCGAGCCCGTCAGTCAGTCAGGAAGGAAGGAAGGAAGGAAGGAAGGAGAAATGGGGAGGGAGACGAGGGAGGAAAATTGCGCGCAGGGTGAAGAAAGGAGAAGGGCGAACGAGACGAGCTTCCAACCCAAAAAAGGGCTGGAAGACTGGGAGGATGCAGGATCGGGAAAGAAAGCGACGCCTTCCCCGCCCGCGACGTCGCCCGCTTGTCATTGGCAGCGCAGCGGCCCCCAGAGGGGCTGGGCACCGGCGCAGGGCCGCTCCGCAGCCGCGGAGGACAGCTGCGCGGCTAGCAAGGTGTGCCGCGTAGAGCGCGGCCCTTGTGTGGCCCGGTGGCCAGGCAAGCTTGGGCGGGGACCCCCATGCAAATCTAAGACGGGAGAAGAGGGCAGAGCAAAGGGGGTCCCTTCCCCAACCTCCGGCTCTGAGACTTCCCTGAGCCCCAGAAAAGCGAAAGGATTTTCTCTTCTTCTTTTTTTATAAATATTTTATTAAGTTTTCAAATACAAAGTTAGAAACATACACTGAAGAAAAAAGTAAAAGAACAAGAAAAAGAAGAAAAGAAAACCAACCATTCAACACATTTTTTATATAACTAACTGGACTTCCTCGCATCTCCCTTACCCTGCATTCTTTATAATAAAGATATCAGCAAATTATTACCTTGTTTCGTACCTTATTTTGTACTTTTCAAATACTATACCTCTAAATTTAACATACTTTTCATCAGTTACTTATATCTTAAATTAAACATAGTATTACCTTAGATTTTGACCTTTTCTTACTTAAAATATATTTTCCTGTTTCCCAAATCTAATTGCTGAAGCTATAGTTTCCGAATCGTGTAAATTTCTAACATTCATACAACTTATATTGTTTTTGTAAATAGTCCTTAAATTTTTTCCAGTCCTCTTCCGTTGTTTCTTCTCCCAAATCTCGGATTCTGCCAGTCATTTCAGCCAGTTCCATGTAGTCCATCAATTGCGTCTGCCACTCTTCCAGTGTGGGCAAATCTTGTGTCTTCCAATATTTTGCGATAAGTATTCTTGCTGCTGTAGTTGCATACATAAAGAAAGTTCTATCCTTCTTTAACACTTTCTGGCCAACAATGCCCAAGAGGAAGGCCTCTGGTTTCTTGGGAAAGGTATACTTAAATACCTTTTTTAACTCATTATAGATCATTTCCCAGAAGGCCTTCACTTTTGGACAAGTCCACCAGAGGTGAAAGAATGTCCCTTCAGCCTCCTTACATTTCCAACATTTATTATCAGACAGGTGATATATTTTTGCAAGCTTGACTGGGGTCATGTACCACCTATAAATCATTTTCATAATATTTTCCTTCAAGGCATTACATGCCGTGAATTTCATTCCGGTGGTCCATAACCTTTCCCAGTCCTCAAACATGATGTTATACCCAATATCCTGAGCCCATTTTATCATGGCTGATTTGACTGTCTCATCCTGAGTGATTTTCTCTTCAACCTGCCCTCCATCCTCTTGCAGAAAACTCTTTGCCTGCCCTGCCCGTATCTCGTTTTTTGCTTTTTAATTCCACACACGCACCCTTCGGACTTCGTGGCAATCGGGCGCGCGGGTGCGTTTCCTAAGAGAGTGAGGACCCCCGCCTCCTCCCCACCTGCTCCCTCGCCAGCCAGCCAGCCGCGCGCCCTAGCCGGAGAGCCCCGGCCGTCCCCCGTCGCGCAATCGGCTGGATCTCCCTTCAGCAGGCCGTGCTCACAACTCGGCCCAGGGACCCCCCAGCAGCGGATCTCCGGCTCAGCTGAAGAATCCGGCAACAAGCCCCCTCCTCCCCAATCGCTCCGCCGAAATACGCTCCAAAACCCCCCAGATAGGCCGCTGGCCGCCAAGTCTAGTGGCGCCCTGAGCGAGGGTCTCTCCCCAACACCGCCACCTCGAACTGCGTTCTCCCGGCTACCCGAGCGAACCAGCGGCAGGACCCCGGTATGGGCCCCCCCAATATTTTTTATAAGTCGGCGCCCCTGAGCGAGTCAACGGTTCATACTAAAAGGAGGTGCTTTGGCTCCATGGACTTTTTCTGCATCTGCTGTATCCCATAACGAGCAACAAGCATTTATATAAAGGCACCACCACTTGTATATAAATACGCAAAAAAATAGGAAGCAGCTAACCTTAAATGAGGTGTCAAGGGTAAAAGCTGCTCAGGCTACTTCTGTTCTAATTTAAAACAGCCT